ACAGTCTTTAAAACAGCTCCTGAACCAAGATTCCCTGTGTACCAATCTGGTTCCCACCTCCTTACCTTTGCCCCTGCTGTTCCGTCTTTCTGGGGCACCCCTCTTCCCTGGCCAGTCTCCACTATCAAAACTCAACTCAGGCTCTCCTGATCCTTAAGGCTCTCCTCTAGAGATGCTTTCCTGCCAGCCACACCCCACACAAACTCATCTACACTAGACTTGGTGCAGCAAATGGATACGAACCAACCTGCTTCACCAACTACTAACTGACACGTTGGACAAGTTTCTTATTTTCTCTGAGCCTTTGTTTCCTCATTGGTAAAATGAAGTAATAATAGAACCAGCCTTAGAGTTGTTATGAGCATCAGTACATGTAAAGCGAGTTAACGTGTGTCAAGTGAGTTAATGCTGAGAAAAGCACTTAGAAGAGCGGCAGTACCTGATAAGCATGTTGCTCCTGCTGCTGTTGTCATTATTATTATTGGACCGTAAGCTCCCCCAGGGCAGAGACCCTGCCTCATCAGTCTGTCTTCTTAATACCAGGGCCGGGCCTGATAGCTGAGACACAGACACTCATATATACATATATGACCCGTGAAACTCATAGCTGACCATGCCCCTCAACTCATCTGTGAGGGCCTAAGAGGTGACAATTTCCTCATCTCAGCCTTGATATGTCTTCAGTTTGTCATTGAGACTGTGCTGGCCTTTTATGGCATGTTTTTAGAGGGCCTAATTCACTTCCGTTCCATGATTCAGCCAATATGCATACCCCTCCTGAGGGTCAGGCCAAGTGGTATTGTGAAAAGGATGGCAGACGAGAAGACAGGAGATGTGGGGTGTGCCACTCACTGACTCTGAGGCTGGTTTGGGCCTCTGTAGAAAGGAGCTTGCAATGGCAGCTTTCTATGAGTTTTCTTATCTTCCCTGGTCCTTCTGTTCGTCCATGTCCTTCTTCCTTGAAGCCTAGAGAAGCTGTAAAATCTTAACACCCTTTACAAGTGAGGAAAGGCCCATGGCCCCAAGCCTCAAAAGGTTTAAAATTTGGTTAGAGTTATAAGAAGATTATTCTCATATTCACTCGATCATCAAACATTTGACAAGGCTGCCTCTGTACCAGGCCTGTGCTGGTCAAGGGAAAAATAGCAAGAGAAGGTGAACTCGGGCGCTGTCTTCACAGAGTTCACAGGGTAAGGAGGGTGTGGAGCTGGAGCCATGATAAAGATAATCTAGAGACTTTTAGCCAGTAATTCTCAAAGGGGATGGGGATATATCAGGAGTCACCTGGGGAGTGTTTTCCTCCTCAGCTGAGAATGCCTGCTTTAGGCAGAAAAGTCACTTCAGTGTGGATTCGAGGCCTGCATCAGGAACAGCCTGAGGCCGGAGGTTGAAGCTTCTCTCCTGGCTCTGGGATCAGTCCCAGAGCAGGCCCCTGCCCCCAGGAGCCTATGTATCTGCTCTCTTCTTCCCACCCATATTCCTTTCAGGAGGGTCACACAGCACAATGCCAGCTCTGCCCCTGGACCAACTCCAGATCACCCACAAGGACCTGAAGACAGGAAAGCTGAGGACTTCACCAGCGCTGGTGAGCCGGTGCCTTGAACCCGTTCAGCCTGATATTATCATTTGTGCAATTTCAGAAGCAAAAAGTGAATTCCTTCTTTATCTGTTTTAAGAATAACCTGAGGGCCATGGTCAGTAATTCTGAAGCTGGGGCACCACTAGCTCCTTCCAGGCCCAGTGTAGAAGTTTCCTTTCCAAGCAGCAGCTTGAATTTGAGTAGTAGTTTCCATATCACCACCCCACACCTTCCCCCAAAGCATTTCAATTTGAATCAGAGTCTAATGGCAGTTCTGACTCAGCCTGAGCTGGCCTAGAAATGGATCCAGGCCAAAGCTGGGATAGGGGATTTGACCCTGCAGGAGGTGTTCAGGTTTCAGGTAGGCCCTTTTCAGAGCTATCTCAGCTGCTATCCACACTGTGGAGGGAACACTGATTTCAGAGGTCAGGCTGTCTTTTATCTCAACGGGCTTAGAAGTGCCACATACAGACTCAGCAGGGCTCGTGAGACTGAAAAATAAGGAGGCTGTGAGCATGCCGATTACCAGCTGCAGAGGGAGATTAGAGCCACGGAGAGGTGCCAGGCTGCTGAAGAAGGAGACAGGCGTGGGGACTGGAGTCCACATACCCACTTGCGGTTTTCCCAAGAATATGAGCTTACTCGAACAAGGTGGGAGGAAGTATTTTCTGGGGGCTCGAGTAAAGTCGTGGGAAACAAGAGCTTGGTGTTTTATTTCCTGCATTCTGGATGGCTTCCTATTACTTCCTAAGTACTCTCTAATAATAGCACTTAACATTTATAGAGCACTCGCTCTGGGCCAAAACCTTTCTAAACACTTCACCTGGATTATCTCGTTTAAGCCACACCACAGTCCTATGAGTAGGAATTTTAATTATCCCCATTTTATAGATGAGGAAACCAAGAATTCAAGGTCACAGAACTAGGAAATTATTGGAACCAGGAAGGGAACCCAGCTAGGCTGACCCTGGAGCCCATACCCTTAACGTTTCTGCTATAAAGCCTCTCGTTACATACCTTTTTTTTTTTTAAGATTTTATTTTTCCTTTTTCTCTCCAAAGTCCCCCGGTACCTAGTTGTATATTTTTAGTTGTGGGTCCTTCTAGTTGTGGCATGTGGGACTCTGCCTCAGCATGGCTTGATGAGCAGTGCCATGTCTGCACCCAGGATTCAAACCGGTGAACCCTGGACCTCCAAAGTAGAGGGTGTGAGCTTAACCACTCGGCTGTGGGGCCGGCCCCATACATAACCTTTTTATGTAAGGAGAATATTTATCAGAAAATCTAAAACTGTTCTCTCCAACAGGGTAGCCATTTGCTACCTGTAGAGGTTGAGCATTTGAAATGTGAATAGTTCGACTGGGGAAATACCTGGGTTTTTAATTTAGTTTTAGTTAATTTAAATTAAAACAGCCCCATCTGGTGAGTGCCTACCGTATTGGCCAGTGCAGGTGTAACTGCCAGAGCAGTTCAGTTATCACAGAAAGCTCTCTTGGACAGCATGGGTGGAGACTGGCTCCTTGAGAGGTTGAGTTTGATTTTCCTCCTCTGTCCTTCCCCTTGTACTGAACACCTAGGTTGCTAGATGGTGGGCTCTGTGAGAGCAGGGACCTGGTCCTGTCCCTTCACTCTGGTTTCCCAGTGCCAGACACGTAGTAGGCTCTCAGGAAACATTTAGTAAATGAATTAAGGACCTCAGCCAGGCCTTGTGCCAGGTGCTGGAGCTACAAAGAGAGAAGACGTAGTTCCTACCCTTGAGGGGCCCATGGTCTGAGAGAAAAGCAGACCAGAAGCTTCTCTACAGTGTGATCAGGGTTGTGATAGAAGGAAGTCCAGGCTACTTACTATGTGAGCCCAGAACCCAGGCCGCTGATCCAGACCAAAGGAGTGTATAGGGGCAGGGAGGTCTTGGGGGTTGTGGGAGGGCACGCGCAGCCAGGGAAGACTTCCTGAAGGAGGTGGATCCTGAACTGAGTATTGAAGGGAGAATAAGCACTAGCCGGGCAGAGCAATGCAAGAGAGGTGGACCTGGCAGGAGGATCCAAGTATGCTGGCCTGGAGTCTTGAGAGAGCCTGACTCCTACACCGACCACCAGTCACCCGGGGTGGAAGCAGTATCACAGAGTTAAGGAGCACAGGCTTTGTGTTAAACCTCACACAAACTTGGCTGAATGTCTTTGGGCAAGTTTCTTAACCTCTCTAAGCCTCAGGATCCCAGACGGGTAATAACAGAACAGCTTTGTGGGGTGGTCATGAGGATTAAATGAGACGTCTGTGAATTAGCACTGTGCCTAGAAGATAATAAGTACTCAGTCATGATAGTGATGACAACAGTAGCTGCAACAGAAGCATTGAATGGGGGTAAGATGGGAAGAGGGACAAGCTGAGGAAGATGGCTGCCTGATTGAGGAGGGGCCTTGCTGGCTGTGCTGAAGGGTGTTACCCCGCAGGCCGCTGGAAGCTCCTGAAAGATTGATTGTTCTGAGAGTTCTACCCACCATATATTTGTCTCAAGTCCCAACTTGGGACAAGAAGATCTCTAGCCAAGGGACAGCTACCACACTGCCTTAGCAGAGTGCTAGGTGGAGCTAATGTTTCTTGAGGAGCTACTGTGTGCACAGCACATACTTAGTGCTATTGAAGATCGAAAGAAATAAAGTCTTGGGCTAGAATGGTGAATGAGCTCGTGAGGAAGAGAAGACTCATATAAGTGGAACATTGGGAGAACAGTGCATAGTGGTTTCTTATCAAGATAAATAGAAGTTTGGTGGGTAGAGAATGTTTAGAAAGCTTCACAGAGCAAGTGGGACCTAGGCCAGGCTTGAAGGGTGGAAGATACAAGTGGGGCCTGCTGCTCCCTGCTCTGAAGTCTTTTGTGACCCCCCATTACCTACAGAATAAACTCCCCGCTGTTGAGCTTGAGCTTGGCTTTCAAGGTCCTTCATTACCTCCATTCATTCCCTTGTCCAGCTAGCAAAGGTATGTGGACAGTCTGCTCGACTCCAGGCACTGTTCTAGAGACTGGGAGTGCTGCGGTGAGCAAGGCTCAGACGGCCTCCAGAGACCTACAGGCGAGTGGGGGACACAGAGAAGGCAGGCCCTCCCTTTTTATGTAAGTTTATTGGGATGTCATTGAAGGACAATAAACTGCATATATTCAAAGTATACAACTTGATTGGTTTTGACATCTGCATACACCGACAAAGCTGTAACCATAACCAAGATAATGAACGTTTCTACCACTCCCCAAAATTTCCTTGTGCCCCTCTATAGTCCATTCCTTATTCTCTCCCCATCCGCAGCATCCACTGATCTGAAAGCCTTTTTGATGCTGGTGCTGCAATCAGGAAAGCATGGAGGGCAAGTGCTGATGGAGCCCAGGTGAACCCTAACCCAGTCATGGGTGGGAGTTGGGGAGACTTCCTGGAGGAGGTGAGGTCAGAGCTGGGGTGAGAAGGACAAGCAGTGAGACCAGGATGGCACATAGGTACCATAGATCATTTAGTAGGTCTGCAGTGTAAGCGTTGGTTCAAATACTGCCTCAGTTGGCCTCCTTAGGCATGTGACCTTGGTAAAGTTCCTGAACCTTACTGAGTCTTTGTTTCCTTCTCCCTTTTAAATAGTTGTTGTAGGTAAAAAAGAAATGGAAACATGCCCACTTGGCAGCAGCACAGGGCGGGTCCTTGCTAAATGGTGGCTTTTATTATCATCATTCCAACATTCTCTCTCCAAATCCATCTCCCACCGCCCAGTGCAATCTGTGCCCTTTGTTTTATGGCCCATTTTTATGCTTCCATAAAAATACTGTTTCTTCCATCTAAAAATCCTCATCCTCCAGGGCCTACTCGGATGCTGCCTGCCCTGTGAAGCCATCCCTTGTCCTCTAGGTATAGTTAATCGCCTCTTGTACTCCCATGGTCCCTCTGCCAGGTTTGAGCTGTCACTTCCTCTGTTTTGTGCTCACTTGATGGCTTAGATGTACGTCTTCCCCTGTGGAGCATGGGCTCTGTTGAGCACGCAGAAGCTTTCTTCACGTGCCCCACCACACCAGGCACAGTGGAGTGCCAGCACATGTTTGTAGGATTGCAAGGAAGGTAGAAACTGAGGGCTATATGTGTGTGTGTGTGTGTGTGTGTCTGTTGGGGGGAGTGGGAAGCAGTGAGTAGCCTGGCTTAAGAAGTGACCTAAGAGGTGAGGTATCAACAGAGAGGAGGGTCGGGAGCTTGGAAACAAAGATGAATTTAGGCCCTGGAGAGTAGTTTGAACTTGTTTCAGTCAGCAGGATACCTTTTTCGAAAGATTTGTACCTGGAACCCCACTGTATAAATTCTGACTTAAATGGGAGGGGTCCTGAAGACCCACCTGATAGGTGGGCCCCGAGGAATCCTTGTGGAATTCAAAGACTCTACAGTGTGAAAACTTGCATAAGGCAGGAGGGAGGCATAAGTGGTTCTCGAGGAGACTGAGCAATCAGTGGTGATTTTCCTATTCTGCCTGGACTCACAGACCTGGAAGTGGGTGAGTTGTGGTTGATAACAGCTGAGACATTGCCTGGCCTTCCTCCTATTACCACTTCCCCTGGAGAAAGCAGCCCTTATGTAGGCAGAGGAGAAAACTGAGCTCATCGTCTATGGTGAACAAAGTAAGGTTTGTTCATGGCAAGGTAAGGGTTGCAAGAGAGAACTTGTGATTTTCAGCCGAGCCCTGCAATGACTTGATTAGCATCTTTTCTTTAAAAAAAAATTACTGAAGTTTTTTTCTCATTATAAAAAGGATGTAGCACAATGATACGTACGGCATGATAGTATTTGTATAGGAAAGATGAAAACAGATCTAAGCAAATACTTATATGGGTATATTTTAACATAAATGCCTAGAAAGGGTCTGCGAAGACACTCACCAGATGGTGTGTGGTTACCTCTGGGAGGACACGGGTACTGGGAGTGTGGTCCCAGGTGACTCACCTTCTCTGTAGTATTGAAAATTTTTGAAAGAAAAGATGCTTATGTCTCATTTGTATAATTAAAAAATAATTTAAAAAGTAAATACATGTTCATTTTTTAAAAATTGGAAAATACATTCAAGTCATAATCCCCCCCACCAGAGATAACGACTATTAGCTTTGTGGTGTTGTCCTCTCCCCACTTTTTTTTTAACCTATACCAGAGTATGAATGTATTAAATATATGTACTTTTGAAAAAAATCTAAAAACTGATTTTACTAAATAGAGAGGTTTGTATCCTGCTCTTTCTTCCCTTAACCTTTCCCCGTGTCATTAAATAGTCTCCAAAAAACATGGTTTTTAATGCCCACCTAGTGTTCCCTGGATGCAACCAAGCCCCCTTTGTTAGAGACACTTGGTTCTTTATGCTTCAAAGCTCCTTGGAGGGTCACCGGTTGGAACAGCCAAGTGTTGTCATTGCTGTGGGTTGGCAGATGGGCCCTTGCTGACTAACCTTTGCCACGTTAACACGTGGTTTTTGGATCCGTAGCACCCAGAGCAGAAGGCAGACCGGTATTTTGTGTTATACAAACCGCCCCCTAAAGACAACATTCCCGCCCTAGTGGAGGAGTACCTGGAACGCGCCACCTTCGTAGCCAATGACCTCGACTGGCTCCTGGCCTTGCCTCACGATAAATTCTGGTGCCAGGTAACATTCTATCAAAATTAACGCTTAGACAAAGCACATGACATGCCATTGGTTGGTTGCTGTTGTTGTTTTTCTCCCCCTAGGAGATGCTTTTTTCTCTACTTCTTACACTGGATCCTTAACAGCAAATTATGGTTTGGATTGCTCTGTATTGTATCACAATCTTAATGATGTTTACACAACGCCTTCCAACATGTCATTTTTAGAAACTTGTGTTTAGCCCTTGCTTCATGCCTACCTCCTTGGTCCCTTGGGGTTGGAATGTTTGCCATAGGCCAGGGTTGATGGGCCACGAGCCCCTGTGCAGTCCACCCACATGCCCTTGAGCCTCAGTGACAAATCCTCGCTTTCCTGTGTCACTTGGCTTAGGTTATCTTTGATGAGACCCTGCAGAAGTGCCTGGACTCCTACCTGCGCTATGTCCCCCGAAAGTTCGACGAGTGGGTGGCCCCGGCCCCTGAGGTTGTTGACATGCAGAAGCGCCTCCACCGAAGTGTTTTTCTCACCTTCCTCCGCATGTCTACTCACAAGGAATCCAAAGTAAGCCCCTGATCCTGTGACAGGTCGACACCCGACACCCAACACCTCTGTGCTGGACTCTCTGCCCCTGGGAAGGAAGGCTCTGGAAGTATTGAGTTTCCTCTTTGTCTCCCTCCACCTCTCTTCCCACCGTTGGGGAAGAAATCTGTGTCACCTCCTTATTCTCTAATTCACCGAGTCGGTCTGCGTTACGCCCAGTGTTTTCATCAATGGGAGCCGAGGGCCCTTTGCCAGTTGACGCATGACTGTGCCTTTTCTCGTGCGTCAGAGTGTGAAAACATTAATTCCGATTTTTTAAAGGAACTTGTATGTACTTTCTAAAAACCTTTACTGTTTCTTATTTGTGATTTTAAATATAATAATACTGCCTCTAAACAATTCAAACATTACAGAAATATTTTATAGATAGAGAAGGTCGCCCACAAATCACCGCCCCCAAATAACCACTGTTAAGGTGATGTTGCTTCAGGGAATTTTTTTTTCCTTTCAATAGTGTGTGTGTATGTATTTAAAATACAGGATCTTGCTTTTTTGTTTTTTACTTTTTTAGTATGCAATTTTTCAAATATACACAAAAATAAAATGAATCCCATGTACCCATCACCTAGCTTCAACAATTATCAACATTTTGCTGATCTTGTTTTCCCTTTCTTCCTGAGTTTTTTTTTTCTTCTCCCCAAAGCCCCAGTGCATGGTTGTATATCCTAGTTGTAACTCCTTCTACTTCTTTTCTGTGAGCTGCCACCACTGCATGGCAACTGACAGGTGGTGTGGTTCTATGACCAGGAAATGAACCCAGGCTTCTGGAGTGGAGAGCATGGAACTTAAACCACTAGACCATCAGGGCTGGCTCCTGAGTTTTCTTTTTTGGAGTATTTTAAAGCAATCCCAGGCATCATGGTAAATTACCAATAAATATGTTAGGATGAATCCCCAACTGACTATTTTATAGTGTGCTTTTGCTTCTTTTCACATTAAAATGAAGACTGGCCTTTGCTCCAGGTCAGTGGCTGAGGCTCAGACATGTCCACAGTGTGGACAGCCCTTCATTTCTTAGCCAGTCCCCTGTTGACAGACCTGAAGTTTGTTTTTCGTGAGTTTGCTATTACTTTACAATGCATGTGCTCTCGGAAAGTGTCTCATCCTTTCTCTCTGCACTGTCCCTTAGGAGCATTTCATTTCCCCCTCCGCGTTTGGAGAAATCCTCTACAATAACTTCCTGTTTGACATCCCAAAGATCCTGGACCTCTGCGTTCTCTTTGGAAAAGGCAACTCACCGCTGCTCCAGAAGATGATAGGTGTGTAGGGCGTGGATCCTCAGGGGATGCACAGAGACAGCCCCAAACTAGACGTTCCACAGGCAGATGCCTGAGCGCAGGGGGATTCAGAGCAGCAGTGGCGGGTGGTGCTTGGAAATGACTTAACAGATAAGGTGTGTCAACTCTGAAAGAAGTGACTAGGTGGTGATGGAGGAGTGGAGACAAAAATGTATACCGCATGGTTATTCAAGGACTTTGAAGTCTTAGTATGAGGCCATGTGTCAAACGGTTGACACATGGGGACATGTCCTGGCGACACATGAGGTAGGGACGTTTGCTTTGGCCACAAGAGTAAGAAGAGCAGTGAGAACTAACCTTTATTTGAGTGCTTGCTGGGGGCCTGGCCCTCTGCTGAGCATTCCTCATGTGTTATCTCAATTGATCCTCACAGCAGCCCTCTGACATAAATGCTATCCTCATCCCTATTTACAGATAAAGAAACTGACGTTAAAAGGTGAGAGGTTTGCCTGAGAGACCATGACTAATAAGTGGCCAAGCTGGGACTTATGTCCACGTAGGCCTGACTCTCAAGCTCTTGTTCTTTGCCACTCCCTGCTTCAGGGATAATGGGGCTACCTTAAAAATGTCATGATTTGCATTGTGGCTGAGAACAGATGGGGGCAGAGTTCAGAGAGGACTCTTTTGGGTTGTGAAAGGAATGGATGTCAGCAGTAGGATCCTGTCAGTGCTGGAAGGTCCATTCAGAGACGGAAGCTTTGTTGGGGTCTCACAGAGGGAACAACACCCCAGTGGAGTCTTCTTCGACTCGCAGCTCATGGCATTCTGGAATGGAGAGGTGCTCACCCTGAACACCCCTACCGGCCTTCCTCGCCCTGAGATTATAGGACACAGTCTTCCAAACAACCAGTTACAAAGCTGGATTATCTCTTGAAACGATTTCCTTCCTTCTTTCCTTTTTTTTAAATTTCCCAATAATAAAGGTAATATATGTTAATTAAGAAAATTTTGGAAGAAGTTAAAGTATGAAGAAGCAGGAAAGCAATTACCAAATTCCTGCTCCCAGAGATAGTTATTTGGTGATTACTTCCTTCTGTCTTTTCTGTGTGTATTTTTAAAAAGCATATTAGAGCATAATGTATATGAAATTTCACATCCAGCCTTTTTGTTGGAACCACCTCTGGTTTCTCATTCCGATCTAATTATTGCCTGATTATCAGTTAATTTATTTTCCCAGGGAAAGACTCTTAGTAATTTTACTGTAGACTGAGAAGATGGGGTGAGTGAGCAACACCAGGCATGATTAGCTAGAGAAACAATTATTAGGCCAGTTTGGTTAGAGCAGAACATTCCAGGAGGGCAGCCACAGGAGACAGGAAGGGGAAGCTGGGGCCAGATCAGGGAGCCAGGCCAGGCTTCAGCACTTGGGGAGCGGCATGGCTTGTGGCTAGGAAGGTGGGCCTTAGAGCTGAACTGCCCACTTCACACCCAGGTCTATTCCTGGCTATGGCACTTTGACCAAGTCAGTTAGCCACTCTGAGCCTCAGTTTTCTCATCTGAAGAGTGGGAAGACTAATGATATACCTACATTGTAGGATAGTTGTGGGGTTGAATATGAGGTGGTGCTCAGCATGGTGCCCGGCACATTTAAGGCACTTGGTAGGTAGGAGCTCTTATGGTGATGAGGCCATGGGAGCCTCTAGGAGCTTGGAGCAGGTCAAGGAGCCATCTGGTAACAAAGTTAACCTGGCGACACTCTGGTGGGGATGGTGGAGGCAGGAGGCCATGTAGGAAGCTAGCGCTTCGGTGTGGGTTTGAAGATGAAAGCTTGGTTGGGCTGCTGGGGTGGAAAAGGACATCAGGGAAGCAGAATAAAGCAGGGCTTAGTGGGTTCAGGTGGAGGGAGAAGTCTTAACAGTTCTGCTGGTTGCAGAAAAAGGGCCTTCAAGAGGTGGAGGGAGTGGGCTGTGAGTAGAGGCAAGGTCAGTGTTAGATCTGTTGGGTGTAAGATGGCTGTGAGCATCCCAGGGGAGATGACGCAGTTCCCTGAGGGCGAGGGTGGAGCGAGAAAGCTCTGCCTGCTGCCGGGGTTCTGAAGCTTTTGGGTCACTGACTCTTTTGAGAATCAGATGAAAGCTTGTCTCCAGAAAAACATACTCCCTCATAGATTTTGAGGTGTATTAGAATGTTCTCATTCCCAGATTGAGAACCCTCAACTGGCTTATTAAGAAGAGCCCTTTCTTTGGCTCTTAGAGGATGGTTAACAGAAACGAGGGCAGGACCAGGCGTTAGGAGCCCCTTCATTGTGTGTGTGTGTGTGTGTGTGTGTGTGTTAGGGTGTGTGTGTGTGTGTTGGGGTGGGTGTGGAGAAGGGGCCTTTCCAACTCTTGAGCAGGAGGCAGAACAAGGGGCAGCCTCCACTTTCTCTACCACAGAAACTCTTGAGCAGAACAGACCAGCTGGAAGAGGGTTGACAAGGGAGGGAAGGAGGGAGCAAGGAAACTGGTCGATGGTTCTTTGGGCAGAAGCCCAGTCCTTATCCCGCCCCCTTGCCCCCACTTTTTTTTAAACTTCAAGGCTGGTATTATGAATCAGCAAGTGTAATTTTGAAAGCAGGGCCATTCAGTTAGACTCCCTGGGAGCTGCTTTGCCAAAGCAGGAGTACACTGAGTTGACCCTATCGAGGACTACACGGATCTGTTGGCAATACCTTCCTTTCACTCTGGGCTTCTGAACTGCTTTAGTTGGAGGAGGGACATTTCAAAGGATGCCTTTGCTGTCCCTTACCTTTCAATTATTTTTTTAAGAGATCAAAAGTCAGATCTTCACTGTCATTGAAATCAGATAAAGGAGAGGAAAGGGACTTAGAAGATCCCAAGGGTAGATTGTGAAATGTGATCTATTCTGATGCCTGTAAAACATCCCTGTTACTCAGACTTAAGCATTGGAAGGATGGTGAGAGTGCCTCCCGCTGCCAGGTGGTCAGGGTGCTGTGGGGAGCATGGTGTGGCCCTGGGAGTTGTTGAGGGGAGACCTGCTTCTGATGCCTAGGTCAGGAGGAGGTGACACTTGCCTTATGGTGGAGGCCGCAGAGGAAGGGGACAGGGCTTGTTCTCTGAGGTTGAGGATGGTGCAAGAGAGGAATGCAATTCTGGGAATGGGGAGAGGGTGGCCAGAGATGCCAGCAGGGGCCAGATCTCACGGGGCCCTTTGTGCCATGGTCAAGAGTTTGGACTTGACCTTGAGGATTCCGATAGGAGGGTTTTACGAGGAAGAGCAGAGGTTGGCAGGGAAACAGCTCAGTCACTCCCTGCCTGTCGGGAGTAGGAGGTGGGCGCAGATGGTCAGGGAGTACCTTCACAGGTTGAGGGATCACTGCCCACCTAGAGGTGGGAGGTGCTCAGCTTTCTGGAATCAAGGAATGAAGTGGCATCTAAGAAAGAGTTTATGGAAAGTCCAGCCACCTAGTGACTTGCTTACTCACCCAGCCCCATCTGGCCTTTGATCTCCTTCATTTTCAAATCCTCTGGGATAGGGCAGGGGTTGCAGGGTTTTCATTAAGGAAACCAAGGACAGACCTGCCCAAAGACAGAGGGCCCCCAGAATTCAGAACATCCTGACACCCAGCCGGCCTTAGATGCTGGGAATATAGTGGGATGAAGAAGCCAGGCCTCTTCTTAAGGGCATTGGCATTTCGCATCATCCTGTCCCCCAGCTGGCTGTGATTCCCCCTTCCTCCCTCGCCATTTGGGCCGCCACTGGAACACTTGGTTTCTGTTCCAGTTACCATATGCTCTAGCCTACACACTCAGCGGCAGCACTTGGAGGATAGTAAACACTTGGAGAGGAGCTTCGTTTTATAGGTACAGCCACAAATGTGTGGCAGACCTTTCTGCAGGTCTCTCTCAGGCCTCTCACCTTGGAGCAGGGTGGGTTAGTATGGCTAGCATATTCAAAAGCAGAGGGTAAGAGAATTTCCAGATAAATTTCTCCCTAGAGTCTCCTCACATTATTGGAGGCATGGCCTGGCAAGAATCCTGGATTGTAGTATCCAGGTTTCTTGAGCAAAGAGATCATATCTCCTAATTTTCCTGGATGACTAACTCCCACTTCCAAAGCTAATGCTGTCATACGAGGCACGGTGCCCACGTGTGATCACTCCCTGGGGATGTCAGGGCGAGCTGGTTTGATCAGGGCAGGTCTTTTATGTAATTCACTAGGCCAAGGTGCTTAAAAGGTTAAATTGTACTGAGCAAGGTCCCTCCCCCACCCTGGGGAAGTTTCTAGGCTGGGCCAAAGCTCTGTGCCAGCAGGGCCTGGGGCCAGGACTGCTCTGGTGCAGACAGGCTTAGGAAAGAGGAGAAAGGTCACAGAGCATGCTGGCAACCATTTGTAATGTGTCCTCTCCACCCCCACCCTCTTTTCCCAATTCCTACCTTTCTCTTCTCTTTTCAGGAAACATCTTTCTCCAGCAGCCAAGTTACTATAATGACCTGGATGAAACCATGCCCACCATCCTTCAGGTAACAGCTCTCAGCCTTGCGCAGGGGAGGGGGAGCCAGGGAGGCAGACCCCCTCCCTCCCTGATGGGGTTCCTCTGGAGAGATGTTTATTCCCCACCCCACTTTGGCTCCAAACCCAGACTGTCTCTGTGTCCTACCCCTGACCACACCCCTTCGAATTCTTTTATTCTCTTGAACAGGACTGAAATCTAAGGGCTGCCCAGCACTCATACAAAAACAGCTAGGCGTGAATTTTGTGTTGTTTGCCAACAGCCGTCTTGGGATACCCCTCTAAGAGACCTGTGTTTCTCAAATAAGAGCTTTAAAGTTTTATAAAATCATTTTACAAAATAATAATGCTCATTGTAGAAAATTTGGAAAATAGAAGAAAACAGAGGGAGATTAATATTTCTCCATAATCCCACCACCCAGAGTTATCCACTCTTCACAGAAATTTCTAGAATTTTACATGCTAGCGTACTTAAAGACAGCACCATTTGTTACATATATGATTTTACGATGAGCTCTGTTTTCCCTTCACTGTTGATTTGTCTTTTATTTCAATATAGTTCCCATAGATTGCTATCTCCAGAGGATTCAAAAACATATTATATGTTGCTGAATGTATATCTTAAATATTCATTATCATACACTTGCCCAGCCTATCCAGTCAGGAAATATCTACAGGATTCTGGGGGCTTTACATACATTTTGTCTTTTTAATCTTCACCACAATCCTGTAAGAAGGATGCCCCATCATCCCCATTTTACGCAGTTTCCACCCTGACCCCGCTCTCTGAGAAGGTCATTGCCTCAGCTGGTATCCCGGGAACACTGGCATTTATTCTTAAGGCTCCATGGCAGTTTTGGGATCACCCGTCCCTGGCTGCAGGACAGGGGTCCTAGCTGCTGGTTTGACAGGATGCAGGAGCATCACCTCTTGTGTTTCACAGGTCTTCAGCAATATCCTCCAGCACTGTGGTTTGCAAGGGGACGGGGCCAACGCCACACCCCAGAAGCTCGAGGAGAGGGGCCGGTTGACCCCCAGCGACATGCCTCTCCTGGTGAGGTTGCCCTTCAGCCCAGTCTTTCTGGCTTATAGAAGACCCAGCAGCTTCTTTCCCTGTTCACGGCCCTTTCCCCCAGCTCTGTCAGCAGCTACTTCCATCACACAGGTTTAGAGTGTTTCAGCAGGGTTTCGTTTTTCTCTGGGAGCTTTATTTATGGAGCAGCGGAAAGAACAGGGAGCTAGAATTCAGAGGACAGAGATTTAGTCTTCACTGAGTTCAGCTCAACACGTTCATTCGTGTGTTATTCCTTGAGCCATTCATTCACTCACCAAATTTGTAGGAGCCCCCAGCATGTGCCAGGCCCTGTGCTGGGCTTTGGGGGTAAAGTGGTCAGCAAAAGCAGACACAGCCCCTGCTCTCATGGACATGGGAGTCTAATGGGGAGGACAGATAGAAGGTAAATATTTAAGGAGGCTGGAAGCATGTCAGGCCTTGTGTTAAGCCTGGAGATAGACCATGAACAAGGGAGCTGTGAGCTGCTCTCCTGGAGCTTGAGATCCTGTGGGAAAACAGGCATAAAACAAGTGTTTCAGAAAAGGGCCTGCCAGGTGCTGTGGCAGCAAGTCATTTGACCCCTCTGAACCTCAGTTTCCTTATCTGTAAAATGGAGACCTGTCCAGCCTACTTTTTATTTATTTATTTATTTATTTATTTATTTGTTTGAGGAAGATTAGCCCTGAGCTAACTGCTACCAATCCTCCTCTTTTTGCTGAGGAAGACTGGCCCTGAGCTAACATCCATGCCCATCTTCCTCTACTTTATATGTGGGATGCCCACCACAGCATGGCTTGATAAGTGGTGCCATGTCTGCACCCAGGATCCGAACTGGTAAACCCCAGGCCGCCAAAGTGGAACGTGTGCACTTAACCACTGTGCCACTGGGCTGGCCCCTTCCCCAGCCTACTTTTTAGAGTTGTCATGAGAATCAGGAAAGTGTATGAGAAAGCACCTTATGTTCTGTATACCCTCTTCAAAATGTAAGAAAAGTGTGGTCTTGATATTCTTGTCCTCACTGGGATGTACTTTCTGGGCAGGATCATAGGCATTGTCTTCAGATTCAGGGGTGGGGTCTCCTTCAGCTTAGAAGAGAGAATGGTATTATGCTAGAAGTAGAAGTAACCCTAGAGACGGTTGGGTGTGTGCCTCTTGGAGCTACAGTAGCAAGACCTGAGGCTTAGGGAAGTTGAGTTGCCCAGACTGTGGTCCTAGAGATGGACCAGCCAGGCTTTGCTCAGGATTTCTGGTGTTGTCTTCCCTTCACGAGGCATCTGCCTATTGGGGAACCCTGGCTTTGTCAACTTTGTCTCAGACCCTCTACAGAGCTGTGTGTGGGGGCAGAGGAGGATAATGCAGTGTTTTCTTTTGGCGACAGGAATTAAAGGACATCGTTCTCTACCTTTGTGATACCTGTACTACACTCTGGGCCTTTCTGGAAATCTTCCCTTTGGCTTGCCAAACCTTCCAGAAACACGACTTCTGTTACAGGTACAGCGGTAGTTCTGGCTGCCGAAATAGAGGTTCTAGTTCACGTCCTCATTCAACAAATATCTACTGGGTGCTTATAACGTGCCAGGCCTCTTCCGGTCTGGGGATACAGCAGTGAAGAAGACGAATGAGGCTCCTGCTGCTGTGGAGCCTGCATTGTAGAAGCACCCCAATTTTTGGCTAAGAGCAGGGTAGGGGAGGAAAAAACCAACAACCAAGAATAGGGCAGTTTCAATTCAGTTCCATTTTGTTTCAAAGCTCCTACAAGGGAGTAATAGATGGGAAGTGGTCTCAAGTCTTTAGCATCTCATCCAGGGGAGCACACACACAAGGAAACAAGCAGATGTCCTCACATGTGGGGCCAGCTGTTGTGGCCATATTACGAAGCACTCTGGGAACACAGAGGAGGGAGGCAAAATTCTGTCTGGTGAAATAAGAGATTTCATGGGACCCCTTAAGTGAGGTATTGAAGAATGAACAGGAGCCTTCCAGACAGAGAAAGTGAAGCTCATTCCAGGCAGGCAGAGTGAAGCCTGTGAAGCCCCAGAGTATGTTCCATGGAGAACCAGAGAGTGGAGTGTGACATGAGGCGGGGGGTGGGGAGACCAGGGCAGCAGGAAAAGGAGCAGGTAACAAGAGACAGATCTTGGGAAGTTAGTAGAAGTCAGATTATGAGGAGCCTTAAACATGCTAGCAGAGGGGCCTTTATTCTGTAGGCCTTAGGAGGCCACTGGAGGCCTTTATTCCAAAGAAGTCATAGAAGGATCCTGCTGGGATGACGAAAGATGTAAAGGAAAGTATAGGGCAGAGAGGGAGACTCTCTTTGCCCGCTTAGCACCATGAGCATCTGTTCCTTGTACCGTGAGAAAGGGGTGCATGGGCGTGACCTGGTAACCTGCACGTTGCCTGGCAACAGCGGGGGCTGGCCTGTTCTCAGTGGCTTCTGGCTGTTCTTGCCAGGCATTTCTCCGCACCATTCTCAGGAGCTTCTGGGAGCTGCCCAACTCCATCCACCCAGCCGTCCATCCATTCAGTCATTTACTCGCCCATTCAACAAAACATTTATCTAGCACTGACATGTGCCAGAGATGGCAGCTGGTGCTCTGACCCCTCCTGGATCTCCTCAGCTCTTGAAAATCAGACATTAGGATTGAACAGCTTCCCAGGGAATGTTAGAATAAAGCGCTGATCGACACTTTCCCCAGAAGAAAGGGCTTAGGATGGGCCTGTAGCTGTCCACTTCTTTAAAAAGGTAACTTTTCTCATGGTAAATGTGGCAGATGCTTGTAGGAAATTTGGAAAATCTCAAAAGGTAGGAAATTAAGATCACCATGAGAGATCATGCTTTTCTTAGAGTTTTGTACCCTGCCTATTTTCACTTATTGTAGGCATTTTCCCATTCTGTTAAATCATCTTCCCAAATGTAGCACAGATTGCCTTTGAAAGGGTCTTTGGAGAACGAGGGCAATTTTTTGGAAGAACTGACTTTCCTGCGAGGGACAGTGGAGGTAGGGAGCGACTCCACCCACCTGGGGGTGAAGAGGAAGAAAGGAAAACACTTTTGACTGCAAGCCACACTGCCTTTGGCAAGTAATACTGCCTTTGACCTACAAACAGCCTGGGGCTGGCCCAGCCTGTTCAAACTGTGCTGGAGGCCAGGAACGCCCACTGAGCAAAGGCAGCAACCTCAGTCCCCAGATCTCTCTGCAAGGGGTTAGTCACCAACAACTTTTTAGCTGATCCCTTTCATAACAAGCTGCTTCTCCTTCCTCTCAACTGTACTCAAGTATATCTGTCTGCCTGTCTCTCTCTATCCTTTAATTTGTGAGTGAATAATATTGAACCATTCACATGGTTCAAAACTCAAAAAGTATAAAATATATAGTGAAAAGTCTCCCTCAACCCATTCCCTGGTTCTGTTCCTCACCCACAACCATTGTTGTTAGTTTCTTTGTGGAATTTTCCAGAGATATGCATATATAAGCAGATATGCACAATATGTATTGCCCCTCCTTTTAAATTTAGTGCTGGCATATTATGAGTTCCGTATGTACTGTTTGCATTTTATTTTTTAATTTAATGTATCTCAATGCATAAAGCACCCTCAGTCTTTGATATGGCTAGATAGCATTCCATTGTACTATACAGAATACCAGGCCCCATAGATAGACTTTTAGATTTTTTTCAATTGTTTGCTATTACAGAAAAATGCTACAAAGAATAACTTTGCACACACATCATTTTGCACCTTTGCAAGTATATCTGAGGAATAAATTCCTAGAAGTAGAATTGCAGGAGCAGATGGTATGTGCATTTTAAATTTTCATAGATCTCGCCAAATCACCCTCCAAAGGGGTTGTTCCAATTTACTCTCCCTTCAGCAATGTATCTTGGCAACACTTGAATCTGTTTGGGCCAAACTGCCCTCTCTGTCTTCTTCTGGGTGCCATGCTGTGGGCCTAGTAAGGCTTGCCCCTTTTGGCCTAGTTACCCTCTGCTCTGTATGGCATGGCACTAGCATAGAAGTTGCCAGAAGCCAGCCAATCGATAGACATGTGTTTACAGAATACCTGCTACAAATTCAGCACCGTTCTAGGCACGTGAGCTGCATTTCTGGCTTTGGGAAGCTTAAGGTGTTCACAGGAAGAATTACACCACAGAAGAGAGGCAGCTGCATTTAAAGTTGTAAGGACAAGATACTCTGAGTGCTGTGCATCTAGTTCCAGGAAGGAGCAACCACGCGGGCGAGCATGATCAGGAATAACCCAGAGTGGAGGGGGCCTGGAATGCTGCCAGGAGTAGGAGGACAGTTACGTGGGCGTTAACCTGAGAGGAAGCCTGCGTGGGAAGCTGTGGGAGCACTGATCTCCGGGAGGACAGGGAAGGCCATGTGGCTGGGACGGAGACTTTGAATTTGAGTTGGGAAGGGGTGGGTGTGAGGTTGCCAGAGTGAGAAGTAAGTTTGGTTACGCTGTACTAAGTATCCATGTACCAGAGAGAGGAGCTACCGTTTGATGTCATAGGAGGCAGGGACCTGCTGGCAGTTTTGAGCAAGAAAAAAGAGTGACCTTGTGTCCATTTCTCAAACCTCAGTGAGTCCTGGGTGGCCCTCATTGCTTTGTTAGGATGAGCCTATCTGGGCCTTGATTTCCCATCTGAATGGGGGACATAGTTACAGGTCACTTTGCTTGAGGCTCTTCCTGGGACCAGCCACTGCTGATCAATCTGGGTGAGCTTGGGGAAGAGCCAGGGTGCTTCCGGGGGAAAATTGTTGTGGTGACCACCTGGGAACAAGAAATGGGCCTTCCTGCTCCCTTGGGTTTGTTTGATTTCCTCATGAAGTGTCGTATTAATGAACTAATCCAGCCTTTTACCCATGTGTGCCTTCACAGACTAGCTTCATTTTACGAAATAGCAGTTCCCGAACTGGAGTCTGCAATTAAGAAGAGGAGGCTTGAAGATAGCAAGTGAGGCGGGGACAAAACTAAGAGTGGCATCGGGGAGAGAGGCCCGAGCGTGGGCCCTGCCCTCCCTGGGCTTGAGCATCCCCATCTCTAAGACAAGGGTTGGGACCAAGGATCTTGCAGCTTCAGGCTCGTGTGTCCCTACCTAGCATCCTCCTGGCCCCTGCATCTGAGCTTTTCCCCCCTCAGCGTTGTTCCAAGCTCCTGTTAAGCCACCCATTGGTTCCTGACCCACTGTTTAAACCGAGAAGCAGCCCTGGAACCCGCCAACCACTCAGGGCCTGTAGCCTTTTGCCAGCTACAGTCCACAGTGAACTGTGAGGCCCTCTCAGACCCAGGGGACAGGTGTGGGGGACATCTGCAACTGGGGGAAATAAGCTCCCTCGGTGCCTTTTCGTCTTTCAAATCTCTTATTTCTTTTTTCTCTCTGGCCGTCAAAGGCTGCTAGGTGACTTGTGGCAGAGGCTCTCCCATTCCAGGAAGAAGCTACTGGAAATTTTTCACATCCTCATAAACCAGATCTGCCTTCTCCCCGTCTTGGAAAGCAGGTGAACCCTTGGGAGCTGCTGCCCAGGTGGAAGAACCCCCTGCCAAAGCCCAGCCGGGGTGTTTCCCTCACTTCCTCAGCCCTCTCCCTTGCTCCCTGGTTGCTGTGCAGAGATGGGAAATGAAGAAAAATGCCTCTTTCCTCCAACTGGCCAGAGGCCCCGCAGAGGGGTGGGGCGGGGGTGGGAGGGAGCTGCAGATCCTCTGCATTGAGTGAGCTCATCTTCCCTGGTGTTCTGTTCCAGCTGTGACAACATTCAGGGCTTCATCGAAGAGTTCCTTCAGATCTTCAGCTCCTTGCTTCAGGAGAAGAGGTGAGTGTCTGGCTGAGTTGGGACCAGCAGTGGGTCAGGCCCATGGCGCTCCCACCAGTCCCCTTCAGGCCTTGCATACCAGAGCCCCTGCCACATGCTCACTACGGACTAAGCTTCTGGGATTTGTGGTTGGGCGGCAGACACAGGGAGTGGCCCGCAGCAGACCAGTGCCCCTGTGGCCCCAGCCCTGTCCTTCCCGTCTGTTCTCTGCCCAACAGGTTCCTCCGGGACTATGACGCGCTCTTCCCTGTGGCCGATGATGTCAGCTTGCTGCAGCAGGCCTCATCAGTCTTGTATCCTTTTACCGCAGCCACGGGGATGGGGCTTGGCCTGACCAGGTCAGAGATGGGCTGCTAGAGCTCAGAGGAGTGGAGGGAGGTTTAGCGCCAGAACACACAGGTCAGCCAGCTTTTGCTAGAGGCCCGCCAAAGCTCTGGCCCATGTTTCTAGAGGAGATGACTGTTCTGATCCTTGGGACAGGGGAGGGACAGTCCCACTTTCTCTAGTGTTTACTGAGTGTCTGGGCCTGCATGACCAAGATGGACTTGGCCCCACCCTCATGGACCTCACTGCAGGACGGGAGACGGACAAGTAAATAGACAGTTCAGTCATGTCATATGGGAGAAATCCAGAGGGTAGGGAAACCAGGGCAGGCACGTCACCCAGTGGACCTTGGGGTGGGGGATGTCATGTGGAAGTGAAGACCAAGCTGAGAACAGCAGAAGGATAGGAGATGGCCAAGCCCCGAGCTAAGGGTCTCCAGTGGAGAGGACAGAGCAGGCCTGTCTGAGGAGATGGCAGGGTGGAGCTGAGGGGAAGGGGTCTAGTGGGAGGGAGTTTAGCATGTGGCACATGAGCTGAGGGTGAGTGGACCTTCGTGGCCCTGGGTTGAGCCTCGCTAAGAAGTTTGGGCTCTGTCCTGTAAGCATCTGGGGAGCTGTGGAAGGGTGTGAAGCTGGGGGTCACAGGGTCAGTTTTATACATTGTAAGAGCTCTATCTGTCACAGGAAGGAGAACAGACTGGTCTGGGACCTCTGTGAGGCCCAGGGGCTGGTGAGGACACTGTTGCTGGCATGCAGGCATGGCTATGGAGGTTTGGATTAGAAGTGGAGTGAAGGAGTCTAGGGCAACTCCCAGATGTCTGGCTTGGCAATGCCCAGGGTGGTAGAGAGACAGGAAGGACAAGGAGGAACAGGGCTGTCCATTTTGGTGGCTGGGGTAGGTTGCTCAGTCCTGCCTCAGGGAGACGCTTGTGCGCCCCCAGCCTTGCAGAGAGCCCTCAGTGAACAGGAAGCCCTGTGGCAGTATCCCTGTCAGGCCCTCCTGTGGTCAGTGCAGAGGAGGAGCTGCTGGCTTGTCCAGACACCATGTCCCAGGACTCTAATGCCATCCCCTGGCCCTGTCTTTACCTAGTGCCGCTTTATGCTGAGTGGCAGGTACTAGGTTTCCAGGCCAGTGAGGCTGTGGTTTGACCTGTTTCTCTGTGCAGCCCAGGTGTCCATGGCCCACTGGGTGCAGCCCCGACAGCCCCTGGCAGAAGTCATATGGTCAGACCTGGGGAGGAACTGAGAAACTCCGCTGCCTCAGAGCTGGGGAGGCAGAGAGGGCTGTGGGCCCCAAGAGAGACCCCTTAACACATCCTCGCAGGGATGAAACACGGACCACCTACATCCTCCAGGCGGTCGAGAGTGCATGGGAAGGGGTGGACCGAAGGAAAGCTGCAGATGCTAAAGACCCACCGGTGGCCGGGGATCCTAACGGGGTTGTGGTGACGGCGGAACCAGTTAGTGGAATGGCTTCACATCCAGAGAACTCAGAGGAAGAGGAGGTGCGTGTCTGGAGCAGCGCTTTCCCCTTGCTTCCCCTGCCCCTCTGGCCTCATCTGAGAGGTTGAACCAGCAGGAAACCTCCTTTCTTTATCAGGCAAAAAGGTTTCTTTTGTAATTGACAGCCTCGAGCTGCTGGTCAGCTCTGTGCTGCCTTGAGAGAGTCCCGAGCTGAGAGCTGAGGGCATGGCTGGGTGTGAGGAGAGAGCAAGTTGCTGAAGCTGTCAAAGCCTCAGTTTCCCTTCTATAAAATGAAGTGAGGGAGGGCTGGCCCTGTGGCCTAGTGGTTAAGTTCAGCGCACTCCACTTTGGCAGTCCAGGTTTGCGAGTTTGTTTCCTGGGAGTGGACTTACACCACTCATCAGCCATGCTGTGGCAGCGACCCACATGAAAAATAGAGGAAGGGGCTGGCCCTGTGGCCGAGTGGTTAAGTTCATGCGCTCTGCTGCAGGCGGCCCAGTGTTTCGTTGGTTCGAGTCCTGGGCGCGGACATGGCACTACTCATTGAACCACGCTGAGGCAGCATCCCACATGCCACAACTAGAAGGACCCACAACGAAGAATATACAATTATGTACCAGGGGGCTTTAGGGAGAAAAAGGAAAAAAAAATCTTCAAAAAAAAAAAGAAAGAAAAATAGAGAAAGATTGGCATAGATATTGCTCAGGGCAAATCTTCCTCAAGCAAAAAAAGGAAGATTGGCAACAGATGTTAGCTAGGGCTTATCGTCCTCAGCAAAAAAAAAAAAAAGAAGGAGACGTGATGGAGCTTTTTCCATGGAAATCCTTCTTGGGACTCTCCTCTAAACATGACAGTGGAACTGTCAGTTGCAGCAGGGAGCAATGCCTGGTCTCACCACCTGGGCTCCCTGGAAGCCCCTCCATGGGACTGCAGGGCTCCACTGAGCAAGTTTGGAAGCCTCTGATATAGTGTTTTCTCTCTGGGCTTTTCCAGAACTCTGTGGAAAAGTTGTGGCTGAACTGATTGGCCACTGAGCCCAGGACTCTTCCCTGCGTGTTGGGAGGCAGCTTGACATAGGTATTAAGACCACACAGTCTCTGGAGTCAGGCAGCTCAGGGGTGTATCCTGGTTCTGTCACTCACCAGCTATGTGACCTTAGGCACATCACTCACATCCAGCCTTGGTTCCTCATCTCTAAGTTGGGGATCATTGCTGTCCTCGCCTCCATAAGGTGGTTGGGATTCCCAAAGCTGCTGCGTGGAGCACTCTGCCCCTGCCTGGCCCTCCATGCTCCGTTCACGGCTGCTGTCCTTCTTCCTGTCAGACCCCAGGGCCTGTGACTGTCGCAGGGCCTTGGAGAATGACAGCCCCCTCGGCCTTTTCCCACTCTCTTCCCCATTTGGCTTCTTATCTGAGACAATGGAGGGGTTTTTTTTTTTAAAGATTTTTATTTTTTTCCTTTTTCTCCCCAAAGTCCCCCGGTACCTAGTTGTATATTCTTCGTTGTGGGTCCTTGTAGTTGTGGCATGTGAGACGCCGCCCCAGCGTGGTCCGATGAGCAGTACCATGTCCGCGCCCAGGACTCAAACCAATGAAACACTGGGCTGCCTGCAGCAGAGTGCGAGAACCCGGCCACAGGGCCAGCCCCTATGGGGGTTTTTTTGATTTGTGAATTTCCTTAAATGAAAAGCCAAACAAAATTGAGCCACATCAAGCAGCATATGAACTGAACCCCGTTGTTGAAAAGAATATAATTAAAAGGGAGCATCTCCACATGGTCCAGGTCTGGTGGTTGCTGTTCCCTCCAACGTCAGCCATCAGTTTGAGAGAGCTGATTAAGAGAACCATTTAAGGAGAGCCTAGGCTGCACCAGGCACTGTGCTCAGTGCTTCATGTACTTTATCTATTTGAACCATTTGAACCAACCCCATGGGGTGGGAGGTATTATGCCTGTTTTATAAGGAGGAAACTAAGGTTCGGAGAGGGGAAGCATGTTGCCCAAAGTCACACAGCCAGAAGTCACTCAGCTGGTAAGTCGCAGAACCCCGTCTTCCACAGGGGAGGAAATGGAGGCTCAGAGAGACTTGAATCGCTTGGCTAAGGTCCCATGGCCAGGAGGGGCAGGGCTGGGACTCAAACCAGGTCCCTTGACTTTGAATCCAGTGCTCTTTGGGTTGCCCTATCACCCGCCTGGCCTGGCCTTTCCTGTCCTTCACTCTGGCTCTCCCCACAGTGCATGGGGGCAGCTGCTGCCCTGGGCGCCCCCGTGGGTGGCGTGGAGCTGGACTCACTCATCTCCCAAGTGAAGGACCTGCTGCCCGACCTTGGCGAGGGCTTCATCCTGGCCTGCCTGGAGCACTACAGCTACGACCCGGAGCAGGTGATCAACAACATCCTGGAGGAGCGCCTGGCCCCCGCCCTCAGCCAGCTGGACCGCAGCCTAGACAGGTGGGAGGAGGCTCATGGCGTCCAGCCTGCTCAGGCCCTGGCTGGAGGCACTCTGGGGGCCTTGTCGGGGGCCCTCCTTAGCTCCTCTGCCTCCCACTCTTCCTTCCGTCATGTCTCAGTTGCTCAGTTGCTCTCTCTTCCCCATAGCAGTGTTTCCCAACCGTGTAAACTAATGTCCTCTTTGGGGAAACAAAAACCTTAACCCCCCCGGGGAGGTTCTCACATGCCCCCTGCAGGGCAGAGAGTGTGCCCAGCTGGACATCCCTGTGTCACCTTGTGGGAAGACCGATGAGAGGCACGGGATGTGACAAAGGGGTTACTGAGCCCTTCAGGGCTCCAGAGTTGCTGGCCAGCCTCTGTCTTTGCCGCCTTCCCAGTGGATTCCCGAGGGAGGACAGCCAAAGCTTCTCGCTTCCTCCACACCTGCCCTTTCTGAGTTGGGCCCACAGCTTCCCTGAAAGCCCTGTGGGGCAGCAGGAAGGAGTGTGTGAATGGGTGTTTCTTCCCCGAACAAATGATGTTTGCTGAATGAATGAATCAGGTTAGCTCTGCCTTTGGACACTTTTCCTCAGCCTCTCTGTGCCCATTTTACAGACAAGGGGACTGAGGCACAAAGAGGTGAATGACCTGTGACGGCCTATCTCATAGGGCTGTTGTGAGCCTTAAATGAGGGAGGAAGAAAACCTGTGTGAACAGCAAACAGGACCGAGGGGGAGCTTCCTTTGAGATGTGCCTGCCTACCCAGGCGAGGGCTGGGTAGGGCAGGGTTTTAGATGGTGTCCAGGTGTGGCTGTTGAAGAGAAGTGGAGAATCTGATGGATCTAAGATGATAGGAAGTGGGGCGCAGGTAGGCGTCAGCTGGCAAGGCCCCCTTAAATTGATTCCTATGCTGCCCTCCAGACAGGTGAAGCCAGACCCGACACCCCTGCTGACAGCTCGTCACAACGTCTTCCAGAACGATGAGTTTGACGTGTTTAGCAGGGACTCAGTGGACCTGAGCCGGGTGCACAAGGGCAGGAGGTGAGTGCAGTGGGCTGCGGGCTTCCGGGAACCTCAACCCGAAAGTGCAGAGAGAAACTAAGGTCTCCCTCTCTATGGAACTGGCCCGAGTTTCAGCGCAGGGCTCCCCTGGCAGCCCGGAACCTGTGTGCTCCCGGCAGGCGGGGACAAGTTCTCCAGTGGTCGTGCTTTAGGCTCTGACTCTGCACAGGGTAGTTTTTATTGAATCCTCCTTGTTGACAGCAGAAGGCCAGAGGGGCCCAAACTGGCTCTTCCCGTCTTCTTATGTCTTTGGATGTGTCCGCCATCGAATCTCTGCCTGGTAGAGCTGGGCAGTACTTCCCAGAAGCTGCTCCCTGAACTGATTTTCTCCATTCTGTGACAAACTGAGAAAAGTAAGGCCCTGTACTGAGTGAGCTTTTCAGAAGGTGAACATATTCCATTTTAAGGTCTTTCTACTTATTTTTAGTTTATAGCCTTCCTACTTTTTTGGCATGGCAAGGTCCATTAATAATTTATTCATTCATTCAACAAATATTTGCCAGGTGCTTATGGCATTCTAGGCCCTGGATTTATTAGGTGCTAGGGATGTAGCGGGGAGTGAAACAAACACAGCCTCTGCCCATGTGGAGTTTGCACTAATCAATGCATCAAACAAGCAACGTAAAATTGCAAATGTGATAGATACTACAAGGTGGAAGTGCAGACTTCCAAGCCTCTGGTAGGGACTTCGATCCAGGCAGGAAGGCTCCTCTGAGAAAATGACATGGGACTAAGAGTGGAAGGATGAGGAAGGGTCAGTTCTGCAAAGGGGAGAAGGAGGAGCTTTCCAAGCAGAGTGAACATCAGGGGCAGTGGCCCCAAGGCCGTGGGGAGCATGGCGAGGGTCCTATGAGCCAATACATTTTATATTTTGGAAAGATACCTGGCTTTGGAATGGAGACCCATTGGAGGGGCCAAGAGTCAGCAGCAATGGTAGAGAGTATGACAGAGAGAATGGCAAAATAAGACATTGACAGCACTATGCTAGTAACCCAGAGTTCTCCTAAATGTTGTTGGTTCATGGAATCTGGAAATCTGGGAACTGCTGGACCAGTACAGCCTGCCCTTTCCCCTGTCATATAGATGGAGATGGTGAGGTTCAGAGAGGGGAGGGGACCTGCCGCATTCTTGTGATAGGAGCCCCAGTGGCAGAAGTGCCAGCTGCTGCTCAGTGAGGGCTCTGTGCTGTTCCCCCTCCCCAGGGCTATCCACTTCTGGAAGCTTGGCTGGCTGAGGGCTTGGGGAGTGAGCGCAGGGCAGCTATAAAGCCATCTGGCTGGCTGGACAGGAAGCAATTGCAAATTGCTTAGTCACATACATTGCAACATCCCCAGATCCTGGGCCAGAGATGTTATCCTGTATCTGTGGCCACTGTTCCAGGCCAGAATGACCCTCTGCAGCTCCTGCTGTGGGGAGAGGGGCAAACCAGGAAGGCTGTGCCCCTGCTCAGAGGGCGCTCCAGGCTGCCAGGCAGAGAGACAGGGTGGCAGATGTTTACTGAACTCATTGTGCTGGGTAGCCCAGGGGCTGGGGATTGCAAAGAGGCAAAGCGTCCGTTCATGTGTTCATTGTTTATTTATTCATTCAGCAAATATTTATTAAGCGATTTACTAGCACCAGATTCTATGCTTGACACCAGGGAGACAAGGTGAGCAGGGCTCCCAGGCCTTGCCCTCAAATGGCACAGAGACCAAGGGAAAGACTTAGACCATTAAACAAGCAGCAAAAGGGTGGGATGGGGCACACCGGGGCCTCAGCACAAGGCAGAGCACGCTTTAGTTAAAATGCGTGTGTGTTGTTAAATCAGATAGGATGCACTCGGTGGCTCAAGTAATAAGGAAATCTGTTCCCTTGCACGGTGTGGAGTTGTGAGGTAGGGAGGTCTAGGCTTGGTTAACCGGTGGTGCAGCCACGTCATCAAGGATGCATCTTTTCCATCTCTTGGAACTGGTTCCCTGGAGGCCACTGGGTGGCTGCAGCTATTTCAGCTGTGACCTCAGAAATGACAGTGCCCAGAGGAAGTCTGGACCAGGTCTTCCTGTAGATCTCTTAGGGACCGGAAAACCTTTCCCAGAAGTCTCCAGACTCCCCTCACATCTCAGTGGAGAACTGGTCACAGGGCCGAGGTCCAGGGCTCCAGGAGAAGGGGAAGGGTGGAAAGACCCGAACGACATGAGGGTTTGTTCCGAGTGCAGGTGAGGTGGAGGGTAGACAGCAAGCACACGTGCTACAGGTGCAGCCGTCCTCCCTCAGCCACGCGGGATGCCTTCTAAGACCCCCAGGGGAGGCCTGAAGCGCGGATAGTACCAAAGCCTATAGCTACTATGGTTGTTCCTATACATACATACCTATGATAAAGTTTAATTTATAAATTAGGCACAGTAAGAGATTAACAACTATAGCTAATGATAAAATAGGACAATTATAACAATAAACTGTAATAAAAGTTACTGTAGATCTTGGCAACCTCAGCATAAGATGTTTTTCTTTCCTTATTAAGTCAAGAACTTTCACCTTTTCAATTAAAGGAAGCACTTCATGGCTTCTCTTTGGCGTATCCGAATTGCCAGCATCACTGTTCTTGCACTTTGGGGCCATTATGAAGTAAAATAAGGGTGACTTGGACACAAGCACTGCGACACCGTGACAGTTGATCTGATAACCGAGATGACTACTAAGTGACTAATGGGCCGGAAGCGTATACAGCGTGGATATGTGAGACAAAGGGATGATTCACGTCCAGGGCAGGACAGAGCAGGATGGCAAGAGATCTCATCACATTTACTTTAAAATTTATGAATTGTTTATTTCTTTAATTTTCCATTTAATATTTTCCAACTGCGGTTGGCCATGGGTATGTGAAACCGCAGATAAGGGGGAGTGCTGTGTAACATAGCTAAGCGAAGGAGGCAGTGTGTATAACGTGGGGTCGCCTAACTCCTTTGGACTGAACAGTGGTGCTCTGGAAGATAGGAAGTGTTCTCGTTCAGAAAAAGTTCTATCACCAAAAATGTCTGTGCACTCTGTCTGCTTCTTGGAGAGTCACAGAGCACATTAGCACATTAAAGGCTCTGACAAGTCCTGCAGTAAAAGAAATAGGATTCACTTTGTTGAGCCCAGCAGGTGCCAGGTCCACTTCTACTCATCATCTTATTTCATCCTCACATCATCCCTGGGAGGCAGAACTAAGACTTGGCAAAGGTAAGGGACTTGCCTGTGGTCACACAGCTCAGGAGGTAGCTGAGCAGACTTGAATCGGGAGACCTGTATTCTGGCCCTGGATCTGCTGGTAGCTCTGTGACCTTGGGAAGTTGCTTTGCCTCTCTGGATTGTCTGATTCCTCACCTGGAAAAGGAAGGGCTTATTGCCTCTGCAGGCCCTTTAGAAGTTCAAAGGTGGATGTCACCCCCCTAAGGGCCAGTTTGAGTTGAGCTTTGAAGGATAGACTGGAGGAATAGAGGGGAAAAGGAGCCAAGCTTCAGGAGAGCCCGAGTGTTCTCTGGGCTCGCTGCTGTCTTGTAGAAGGCCCAGGAAGCAACCTGCTCTACAGATAGTCTCCGAAGCCACTGCTGCTGTTTCCAGACTCGGTTGAAGTTCTGGCCCTCAGATGGATCTTTTCCCGGCTAGTTTTTCCCCTGATTTTCTTTTCCTTCCTGCCTCCAAATGAGGTCATGGGGCCAAAGCTCAGGTGCCCAGGGGTGTCCAGGCACCAGGTTCCACTGTTCCTACCTGTGTCCTTTCCCAGGGCCCAGCTGGGGTGGGCAGAGTTTGCCATCCTTCTCTGTCTGGCCCTGCCAGGGAGCCACATAACCAGAGGCCACATAGTACAAGAGAACAGCCCTGCTGCCCAGAACTGGGGACAGGGTGGACCAGGAGTCATGAGATGTGGCAGAAAAGACCAGTGACACCTCTCATTAATCCTGGGTCCCCTAGCCCAGCGCAGGTCCTGGCACCTAGCAGGCCCTCAGGAAATGTGTGTTGAATGAATGGATGTGCTCCTACCAGTGGTACGAACCACCTGACAAGCTTGGGCCCCTTTCATTTCCTGTCTGCCTCTTTCCTCTCCAGCCAGCAACTTGGTAAGAAAGCCAGGTAAGGGCTGAGGCTGTGGTCACAGGCCCCTTTTCTGGTGAGATGTGAAACATTCCTGTGGCCCGAGATTTTTCCCTGATCCAGATCAAACACCCCCCTCCACCACAGAACCTCCATTGCCGCTTCTCCCCCGCAGACCCCCCGCCAGACCCCCTGCACCAGAGTTCGTTTCTCCTTCTTCCGTGTTTCCAGGGTGCGCTTGCCTCTGTTTAGCACATTTCACATTGGCTACCATGTTCCCTGAGAGCAGATCCATATCTTACTCTTTCCTGAATCTCTCCCCAACTCAGCCTTAGTACCCTGCCTGGCACATAGTAGGCCCCAAATAAAACTGTTGAACGAAGCCAAATCCTAACCTCCCACGCTGGGGCTGCAGTCCTGACCTGTCCCAGGCAGGCTCACAGGCAGACAGCCCGACAGACTTGGGCGCTTGCCCCTCCCTGCACCAAAAGCCAGTTAATAGAAGATTTTTATGGAAGCTGCGTAGGGCTTTGTATCTCTTCTTTTTTTTTTTTGTCCTCCCCTTGATACATTCCAGAGACCCGATTTCACAGCTAAGCTGGATTTTCCTGCCTGGTATCTCATATTGATTTTCCCCTGCAGGCCTAGAAACGACATTCCACAGGCCTGTCTGTGTGTCTGACAAACCAGGTTTTTCTACAGATTTGCAAAGCCGCGAGTCAAGAGGCCTGAGTCCCCAGCATGCCTGTGCTACAGCTCACTGTGATCCCAAGCACGTCCCTCCCCTTCCACTGCACCCGAGTTTCCTCACCTGTAGTTTGACAGGAGTTGAACTTCCAGACTTTTCCTTCCAATGCAATCTGATGTGGAAGATTAAACTGCCAAACCGATAGAAGGCCAGTGTGGTAAAGCGTGGGTGGGAGGAAGAGGCCATGACCCCTCCTCACTCCTCACACCCCAGAGGTCCCCTAGGGCTCCCCTGAGCTCTGTAAGAAAGCCACATGTAGCCTCGCTCTTTCTTAAATTTTGGTTTTTTTTAAAAGATTTAGGGGCCTGACCCCTAGCCGAGTGGTTAAGTTCCTGCGCTCCATTTCAGTGGCCCAGGGTTTCGCTGGTTCGGATCCTGGGCTTGGACATGGCGCCGCTCATCAGGCCATGCTGAGGCAGTGTCCCACATGACACAACCAGAAGGACCTACAACTAGAATATACACCTTGTACTGGGGGGGCTTTGGGGAGAAGAAGAAGAAAAAAAGATTGGCAACAGATGTTAGCTCAGGGCCAATCTTTAAAAACAAATAAATAAATAAATAGTTTAAATAGCCTCAGGCCCCTTGTGGGATTAAGCATTGTCATTTGATGGGGGTTTACCAGCCCTGTCTCTGTGCATTTACATACATAGGTATATATGTGCCCACAGGAACAGGGGGTTGGTCTTGTTTGCTTTCTGCTTTTTATACAGATGGGATCATACTGTCTGCGTTTTTCTGTAGCTTGCTTTTTTCCTCTGGAATAAGTCTTAGAATTCTTTCTCCGTCAGCACAAGCAGATCGCCATTGTTCTTGAGAACTGCCGCCCAGCATTCTGTAATACAGATGTGGCACAGGTCATTTGGCCATTTCACTCATGATGGACATTAATTGCTTCCCATTTTTCACTGTCACAAGCAATGCTGAAAAGCCAGTACCCGATCAGACTTCTTGGTGCACACGGCCAATGTTTCTCTAGGATGGATACCTTGAGGAGTATTTCCTGGCTGAAGGGTGAGCACATTTTGTGTTCCAACAGCTGCTCCTGGGAGGCCTTCCAGAGTGGCTGGACCCAGTCACCTGGGCACCAGCAGCAGTGAGAGTCCCACCCTCCCACCACCCCCAGCGCTTGAGATCAGTGTCTCAGTTTCTGGCAGCCTGAGGAGTGAAGTGAGCCCGTGCTCTCTCTAGACCCTCACACTCTGCAGCCTTCAAATCCTGATGGTTTCCTTCCTCTCTCCTCGCTGTTCCCTCGATGCCAGGAAGGAGGGGAGCACGCGGAGCCTGCTGAATGACAAGCGGGAGGTGGCGGCACAGCGGCGGCGCTATGAGCAGTACAGCGTGGTGGTGGAGGAGGTAGGCGGCCTCCCGGGGCCACAGGGCCCCGGCTGGGTGGGGGAGACTGGCCAGCCCCTGGGCCCCTCTGGCCCACACCTCTGTTGTTGCAGGTGCCACTGCAGCCAGGTGAGGGCATGCCCTACCACGGTGACGACTACGAGGATGAGTACGATGACACTTACGATGGCAACCAGGTGGGCGCCAACGATGCCGACTCAGATGATGAGCTCATCAGCCGCAGGTGAGGCTGTAGGGTGGGCGGAGGGTGGAATTCTGGAGGCAGAGCCCCATGGGGCTCTCCCGTAGCCTCTTTAATACAGTTGGGGCAGCTAAGACCCTGTTCACGTGAGCGAGTCAGTGGCAGAACCAGCGCCCAAACCCAGGCCTCCTGACTCCTAGTCCAGTGCTCCCTCAATCCCCAGGCACCCCCTTGGCCGGTTGGTCCAACCTGCTCTGAGTGGGGCAGTATTTATTTGGTTTCATGCAGTGGTTTTACATTTTTCTTCTTAATTATAGAAAACTTTTACCAGTGGAATCTGATAGAGATTGCCCAGTGCAGATAAAAGCAGAGCTGCCCTGGCCAGAGAGGACTGGAGACCCCTCACAGCCCAAGCTCAGCTCCTCTAGGCCCCCACGTCAGACACTGGTACCCTGAAGGAGTCTAGGGCCTGGAGCAAAGCTGGCTTGAAAAGCACTTTGGTTTTCCCAGCCTCCTGACCCGTGCCTGTCCTGGCGGCCCCCTCTCACCCAGCCCGATTCCTTCCTCCCCGAGGCTCGAGGCTCGCTCGCCAGATTTAACCAGTCTTTGATCTCACTTTCTCTCTAAACCCTCAGGCCCTTCACCATCCCTCAGGTACTGAGAACCAAAGTGCCCAGAGAAGGGCAGGAGGAGGACGACGATGAGGAGGAGGAGGTGGCCGAGGACGAGGCCCCCAAGGTACCTCCTTGGCAGGTGGCAGATGACGGGGAGGGAACAGTTCTGAAGGATGAATGAAGAGCACTGCGCCCCCCCTTCCCTGAGGCAGCCGCAGCATCTCTGCCTGGGAGAAGATGGGTCCCTTTGAGCCCAGGCTGTCTGCTTGGAGAGCTGCTGGCTGAGAACTCGCCTCCAACGGCCCAGTGAGGCCCAGGGGATGGACTAGCAGCTGGGCCTCTGAGCTGCTGGTTCACTAGGCCCAGGAGCCTGGGGGCCAGGCGAGGGCGAGCTGTCAGCCGCCGTGCCCAAGAAGGCAATTCTTAAAATCAGAGAGGCTTTGGAGCCCAAGGGCCCTTGGAGGTCATCCGGGCTGGTGGGTTTGAAAATTCTATTTTTTAGCAGCTCAACTTCGTCTTCAAATGAAACCTTCCCTAGACCCTCATATAAAACAGACGAAAGCGGTGCTGCTTGGGTTGAATGGGCAGCAGCTGGAACCCCTGGATCCCCTCATCCCCTCCCACCAGGGTCACAAATTCAGATGTGTCCGGGGCCGGGCCGCCTGTGGAAATGAGCATTGGGGCGGATGGAGACAGTGCCTGGTGGCGTGGAGCACGCAGGCGCTGCCCGAGGGGCCCTCTGCACAAGCTGCCCGCAGCTTCCAGGCATTTCCCTCCTTCCAGGCAACGGGTCGGCCCAGATTTTCATGTAAAATCTTCCAGTTTTCAAAGGTTACTAATTCCTCCTGTTTTGCTTTCGTTTTTTTAAACAGTACGGGCCGCCACAGCCTGTCTGTGGGCCTTAGGTCACAGTTTTCCCCCTGCTAGTCCAGTCTCCTCTCACTCCTGGTGCAGGAAACGCTCTTTGGGAGTGGGTGCTCACACCGCACGTTGCCATGGCACCAGCAGCGAGGCCAGGGCGGCTCCCGAGGCAGCTCCCTTGGCTCTCAAGGCCTGATGTGGTCTCTCATGGCAGCCCTTATGGCCTTCCCCCGCAGTGCTCCATTTGTCACCATTGTGCTCCAGCTGTGGCCGCCTGCCCCACCATGCCTGTCCAGGAGGCCTCAGTCCCTTCAGCCGTGTCCCCCTCAGGGAACTGGGAGGGACAGAGGACGGAGGCTTCTAGTGGAAACCTTGGACCATAGCAAGCCTGGCTCCGTTCTGGGGCATCACCCTACCCTGCTGTGGCTTCCCCCCACTCCTGACATGGAGGCATCACCGAGATTCAGTCAGGCATAGCCTCACCACAGCCTAGGGAAATGGGGCGGCTCCTGATTCTTTTCTCCCCTCCCCTCCACAGCCTGACCATTTTGTGCAGGACCCTGCAGTGCTGCGGGAGAAAGCAGAAGCCAGGCGCATGGCCTTCCTCGCCAGGAAGGGGTGAGCATTTAAGGAGCTGTTTCTGGTGGGAGGGAGCCCATCTGGGCAAGGCCCAGCCAACCATCCAGCAAGCCCACACATAAACCCCAAGTGCTTTATGTGTATTAATGTAGCTCTTACAACAACCATATGAAATAGCTACGATTAGCATTATCCTCGTATTACAGAGGAGGAGACTGAGGCACAGTGACGTTAAGTAACCTGCCAAAGGTCACACAGCTAGTAAGTGGTGGAGCAAAGATTGGGCTCAAATGGCCCTGTTCTTGTAACTATTGTCACCACACTTATAACCATTACTTGATAGACACTGCAAAGAGTTTATCACCCAGTGTGGGAGCCCGACGTGTCCAGGGCTAGCTTGGGTCAGGCAGAGTGTAAAATGTGGGAAAGCCAAAACAAATAGACAGATACACATCCTTTATGGTTGACAGAGCCTTGGTAGGGATGCGGACACTGGAGCTGGACCCTTAAAGGTAGACAGGGTACAAAGGAGTTTGTCATGTGAGGACAGAAAGGCAAAGCCCAGGTGTGGTTAGGGAGAGGGGTTTTTGGAGGGGAGCTGGGAACGAGTAACCACAGCCTCCTCAATTTCATCCCCCTTGTCTTCCCAGTGAGGAAATAGTCCAGAGGGCCAAAGACCTGCCTAAGGCTCCCCCTCCGCTAAAGGCCAGGCCAGTGGTGGAAGCCCAGTCCCCTGTCCTGGCCCTGGGACTCCCATAGCACTGCCCACTGGGTACAGGAGGTCTCACCAAGGAGGGAAGACATTTGGATCTCATTCTGAAGGCAAGGGGGAGCCACAGAAGGTTGTGGATCAGAGAGCAGAGCAACTCTGTCTTCTCATCCATCCCAACTTCCTGAGCACAGAGCCCTGGGCAAACCCAGCAGTTGAGATGGTCTGAAAAGGTCCTAGGCTATGGCTGTGAGCACACTTGGCCTTTGGAGACCAGCAAGCAAGGCCCTGGGGGGTGGAAGAAGAGTATTATCTTGTCTGTAGCACATGGCTCTGGATGGAGAAGGGAGGGACCCCCCCCCCCCAAGCCCTCTTCCTCCTCTCCTTGTTGATAGCTGCTGGTCCTCCCCCACAGCTTAGCCAGGGCCCATCTGGAGGCAAGACTCAGAGAATAGAAAGCAGCAGGCACAAGGCTGGCTGGAGCCCCATAGCCCGGCCCCTGCCAGGCTCCATTTCTCCTCTTACCAAAAGTTAGGACATGGTTGTCCCAGCCCAAGCTGTGTGTCCTTTCCCAGGGACCTCTGAGGAAGGCCGTGGGCTCTTCCCATCAGAGCCTCTTCCAGCTGATGGGTTCTCCTGCGGGTGGGTTGTTCCTCCCTCAGGTACCGGCATGACAGCTCGACAGCAGTGGCTGGCAGCCCCCGGGGCCATGGGCAGAGCCGTGAGACAACCCAGGAACGCAGGAAGAAGGAAGCCAACAAGGCAACACGAGCCAACCACAACCGGAGAACCATGGCTGACCGCAAGAGAAGCAAAGGCATGATTCCATCCTGAAGCCGCTGCGCCGGGGCCAGTAGGGCGGCAGAGCACCAGGCTGCCGGCCGCATTACCATGGCCTAGGGCCTCCTCACCACTTGGCCCTCTGCTGGGGCCCCAAGTTCAACTCCATCCCTCAACAGCCTCAGCTTTGCAGCCCCTGAGAAGGCCGCCTTGTCATCCACCAGCCAGCCGCGAGCGCCTTCTTGTAGAACACACAGTGCCTTATCCCACAGCGGAGGAACCTGGGCCCAGTGAGCAGGTGAAAGATGGGGACGGAGAGCCCAAGGCCGGCCCCCCAAACCTCACACAGCAAGACACCGCTTCCCTTTTTCCCTGGACGTCAGGAAACCTGTGTATTCAAAAGCAAAAGACAAAAAAAGGCCTGCGAATAAAGTTTTTGACCCTTTGAAGCAGTGATCCATGAGGTGCCCATGACCCACTCTCCCTGTGTCCCATTCTTCAGCGACAGCCGCTGTCTGGAGAGGAAGAGGGCAGGATGATCACCGTGCTCTTTTCATCGACTTCTCATGCTTGCGTCTCATTCTAACCCCTCCTGATGTGGCTCTGCCTTGCTGTGTGGCCCTGAGAACATCACTCCCTTCTCTGAGCCTCCGGTCCCTGCCTGTAGAGGAAAGGGCTCAGGGCGTGAGGCCCTACGGTCCTTTCCCTTTTCTCATTCAGTCCCCACAGCCTCCATCCTAGGAGGTAGGTACTGCTTTCAGCCCCATAGTACAGATGAGGAAGGTGAGGCACTGAGAGCTGACGGTACCTCTCCAAGCCACAGCTGGGAAGTGGGTGAACAGGGTCTGTCAGTCTGACCCCTGGCTTTTATAGGGTCCTAGCCCCACTAGGTGGTGTCATCTCCATCTCATAGCTGGCCCGAGGAACTTGGCCAGCAGCAGAGCCAGTACCAGAACTCAGTGCCTCCTGGTTACGCAGTCACTCTGTTAAATCCACAAAAATCGAGGGCTCGGAGACTGGAAGAAACAAGTGAGGATGGCACTGCCAAGTCCTGTTGAAGCAAGTGGGCCTAGTTCCTCCAGGCCCCTGCCCAGGCATGGCCAACCGGCTCCAGGCACGGCAGCAGCTGCCAGGCGTCCCAATGCCTGGGATGAGAGGAAGTGAGGAATTCCTGGGGGACTCCCCTCAGAACGTGGCTGCTCCATGGCAGACCAACAGTGGAGTGTTTGCTGGCCTGGCCTGGAGTCCATCAGAGGAAGCCGGAGCCCCTGCCCAGCTGGACCTTGACAAATCACCCTAGATGCTAGTGCAATTTATTTGCACGTGGTTAGGAGGAGCATCTGAAGCAGCCAGGCAGACAGGCACTTGATGAATTAGTTTTGTTAGGTCAGCCAGCACAAGTGAAAATCAATAGCAATTCCTCTGTGTCGCACCAGTTCTCATGGTTCGTTGAGATGCAGAGCAGACATCGGGGCACTGTCCTCCCCTCGCATTGCCGAATTAGCTGAGATCAGGCCTGGGGTCAGCCATCCTGACAGGTGGCAGGAAGACTCTGTTTCCTCCCAGAGGCATTAGCCAAGGGCTGCTCTCCCTCGCGAGCTCCTCAGACTCAGCTCTTGGCCCTGGAGTGCAGCGAGGTGGTGTCAGGGAGCTCCCGGCTTAGCTGCCTTACCCATTGCTGTTCCTACAGCCCCTCTCACCTTTACTCTGTCCTCCACCCCTCCTTCCACCTAGAGTGCTGGTCAGGCCTCACATGAGCATCCTGGTTGAAAGGATTGGAGGAGACAGGCGATTTTTCAAGTTTTCCAGAATGTAGTGCCAGGTCAAACTTAGTCTCCCTCGAGGAACTGTGTATTTCTCCTTTCAGATCTTGAGAGCACCCTTTCAGGAGTGCTTTGAAAACAGCTCAGGGGTCATCTGGAATGGTGCTGGTAGGCACACCCCTTCACCTCGTGGGGCCTCAGTTTTTCCATAGGTAAAGTGGGTACACTGGACCAGATGAATGGGTTTCCACTTGGTACCAATTAAATCCTCGGAGGAGGCCTCAAGGTTTAAGATGGGCAATGGCAGAAATGTTATAAGTGAAGTCGGAGGGGGGCCCTGAACCCTGCCCACTTGGTCGCTGGGCCCCACCACCCCCACTGCTGTTCCTAAGCTGGAATTTTCTAAGTGCCTTCTCTGTACCCTCACAGAGAACATGACGATCACAGGCATTTCCCAGGAAGCTTTGAGACGGTGTGCCTCTGAGAAGACTTAAGACTTGAGTGTCTTTGTTTCTAGTCCGTGAGTGGCAAGGATGGTGGACGTGTTTGTCTGAACCATGCCTCTGTGCCTCTGTGAGGTGGGTGGGGCAGAGCCTGTCATTGTTTATAAAGGGGAACCCGGGGGCCCAGGGAGGGCAAGGAACTTGCCCAAAGCCTGTGGCAACTTAGCAGCAGAGCCTGGATGCAGATCCTTTCTGAGTGCCCCCCTTAGACAGCCACGTGCAGTCTGGAAGAGCAAAAGATCAGTGAGACCTGCCTGTCCCTGCCACACCAGGAGCCTGGGTTAAATAATACAGAGAGAGAAACAACAACAACAAAGTAAACCCACCAAAAATGCAAGGGGGTGTTGTGGAGCCCCCCCTTTAAATGATGTCAATGAAGACTTGCTAGCAACATAGGAAACTAAATATTCAAGAATAATTTTTTTTTTAAAAAAAGAATAAATTTGAAAGAATACATGATGATAATGTACCATGATTGTGAAAATGTTAAAAAAAAAATTTTACATACAGACCAAATCTGGAAGGGAATGCACATAAGTGAAAATGATGGTGAGACTGTGATGATTTATAATGAGAATAAAAGCACTGACCATGGCCAGAGTTTCTGCTGGGCTCTTTCCTCCCATTATCTTGTTTCATCCTCACAAGGTAAGTACAGATGAGAAAACGAAAGTACAGAGAGGGTACCTGCCCAAGGTCATACATTTATCAAGTGACCAGGAGGGGAATTCAGTCCCAGGATTGTCTCCTAAAGCCCATGGTGTTCTTCACCCCAAAACCAACTGCCATTCCTCCTTTCCCCCATGTGCACATCCTTGTTACTACTGTCCTTAAAAAGAAAGAAGAAAATACAAGTGAAAGAGCTGTAGAACAAGAGGATGGAAAATCCCATTTCATCAGGCCGGCCTGATAGGACTCCAATTACATGTGTGTTAGACCATTTGGTATTGTTCCATAGATCTCAGATGCTCTGTTCCATTTTTTCACTTTCCATTTTCAAGTTCATTTATCCTTTCCTCTGTGTATCCAGTCTGCCGTTAAGCCCATTGAGCAATTCATTTTTGTGTCCAGTCCCTCTCCAGGGGATGCAGAGAAAAGGCTGAGGGTAGAGCATACTCACTTGAGATGGGGACAGCAGAGCCTGGGGACCACTGAGGCCTGGGAGGAGGCCAAGAGGCTGGGCAAGTCAAAGGGTCCAGGGTGAATGTGGAAGAGGGAGAGAGGGAGTGAGCCCCCGAGTTAGGGCCGCAGGCCAGGCTATGGCTTACACAGTTGGCCAGAGCAGCAGCTCTCAGTGTTTGCTGTGTGCCCTTAGGGCTTGGGGCATGGATGGTCAGCTCGGCTGGGAGGACAAGTGCATCCACTCAGTGTACCTTTACCAAGATCTCCTAGGTGCCAGGCACTGCACCATGCATGTACGAGGAAGACCCGGGCCCCGGCCTCATGGAGTTCACAGTCCAAGGGGGATCTGGATGGTAAGACATTTTGGAAAAATGATTAGTAACAGTTGTGCTAAGTCCTAATAAATAAACACATGAAGAAATGAGTAGGCAAGGTCAACAGAAAGAGGCCGAGAGCAGACACTTTCTGGAAGCGGAGGGTGGTGGTCACAGCATCAGGCAGCCACTGAGAGGTCAAGTGGGCCAAGGCGGTGGGGCTCATGGGGGCTCTGCCCCAGCTCTGCCAGGAGGTGGTAGGGAGGCAGCCAGTGGGAAGAATGGAAGATGAGGAAGAGAAGGCGGGAGGGGAGGCCTGTCTTGAAAGGAACTTGGCATCAAAGAAGAGGAAGAGGGGGCTCAGAGGCGAGGAGGGAGTGTTAGAACCCAGATCTTGTCTGTGGGATGCCCAGAAGGAGCCAGGGGGGCGCCAGAGAACCCACCTGGGGGAAGGTAGTCCGCAGTGAGGCGAGGGGTGGGGCCAGGGCCCCTGCAGGGCTCCCAGATGAGGGGCAGCCTCGCCTCAGGTCTCACCTAGATCTTCAGTGGGCGCTGGGGCAGCACGGTGGGGCCTGACTGTGGCCAGAGGCTGTCGTTGCAATTCTACAGCCTGAACCAAGGTAAAGCATTCAGTCTAAAGGCTACCGTCTTCCGTCCGCTGTGATGTGTAGTCGGGGGTAGGGGTGTCTTAAAGGGAGCGTGAAATTCCGACTTCACATCATACTGGAAATTCTCTTCCAAGAATCCATAATCATCAAGAGAATTTTACACAGACTGGCAGAACCCAGAGAGCCTGGAAGGGCATTTAGGCCAGAGGTTCTCAACCTCTTTAAACCCCCAACCCGCCCCAATCTCAGGCCCTGGGGTTTGAGATACCCCCTCCTCCCCTGGGGGTGGGGAGGTTTCCCTGCTTAGACTCCACGGGCTCCTGGGGGTCTCCCAGCCATGGAGGTTGTGTCGAGCTGTACTTGCTGCGATCTGAATTACAGAAACAACGGGTACTTGATTCTGCTTTTCCAAATATGAAATTATGACATTGAATATGCTTTTTCTGGCTGTGTGAGCCCACCCTCAGCACTCTGACGTGTCCCTTAAGTGCTCTGCCAGCACAAGCGGTAATTATGGTTTTCTCCTTAAAGTGCTTTTAACAGAAGAGCCTGGTAGAAAAGGAGGTCCCGGTGGATGAGGACCAATCATTCCTGTACATTTAGGGATTTTATTTGCAGAGTTTACACGCAGGCTCCCACCCTATCTCCCATATTATGGTCTGATCTACTTAGCATTCTTTCATGGGCCATTCCCAGGCCTCAAGTGTGTGTCCTTTTAATTGTTAATTTGTTCATAAAGGTGGCCTGGGGTGGTGAAAAGAGCACTAGATTAAGAGTCAAGAGGCTGGGATCTGGGCCCTAAAGTTCAATAAGCTGTGTGACCTTGGGTCAGTCACTTGACCTCTCTGGGCCTCAGTTTCTTCTTGTGAGAAATGGGGATGATCATTCTCCCAGCCCTCTTGCCTCATGGGTGTGGGTAATTGTGAGGGTCTGATGAGACCACAACGGGGGGGGAACACTGTGAAAGCAGTAGACCCTGTTCAAATGGGAGAGGAGAAAACTGTCATGGGCAGCCCTGTCTACTCTGCATTTGGGGCAGGTTCCCCCTCTCCCCTCTTTTAATCATTCTGCTGGAAACCTCTCTGCACAAATCACCTCTTATTTCCAGGAGGCCCTTTTCCAAACGTGGATGCTGGGGTCCCAGGGCCACAAATAGTTTTAGAGCTGCCTCTATTGGGATTTTTCCTGATAGTTCTCACCAGAAGGACAGAATCGGGGGACGGCTTGAACTCCAAGGCTGTTGCCTCCATGGGCAAGTTCTGTCCTGAAGCAGCCTCCCCAGAGGGTCCCGTCTCTGGGGAAGCCTGGGAACTGTCGCCCTGAGACCTCTTGGACAGGAGTTTGTTTAGAAGAAGGTGAGGCTGCTGCCCACCTTTCTCCAACAGGCTCACCAGGTCCCACGTGACAGATTCAATAGGCAGCGCCCAGCCCCCAGGTCCAGCTGGCCTCTGTCACAGGGAAGGGGCAACAGATGAGGACCAGCGGGGTGACCTGCCAGAGAGCATGCGTGTGGCCTGTCACACCTGGAAAAACAGACTGCCCGGCTGAGGAGGGGTCCGCACAGAGAGGCATCGGTTCCTTCTCCAGAGTGTTAACTCAGAGTAACAGGCGATGGCCGGGCCAGACCTTTGCCTTGGGGATCAGGGTCCTCGAATGGCCAGTGGTCTGTTTTGCTTTTGCCATTCAGAGCAGGGGCTAGACTCCGCCTCAGCCCCTCCCTGGCTCTGTGACTCTGAGCAAGGTGGCCTCACCTCTCTGAGCCACAGTTGTCTTTGTAAACTGGAGGTGTCTGCAGGGTGGCTGGGATAAGGCGTGTGTGGTCCCAGCCCACCGTGAGGCCAGTGAACTCGTAGGGTGCTGCCCTGTCACAGGGACCCAGGCAAGGGGTGGAGGACGCCTCCTGCCAGTGCTCTAGCCGGCTTTCTGTGGACCCCACCTCTCACCCCCTCAGCACAGCTGCCCTGACTCCTCCAGGCCAGTCCTCCCAGAAGCCTCTGGGCTCAGGATGGCCTGGACACACAGGAGCCCGATGCAGAAGACAGGCACAATCCAGCCCAGTAAGTATGTGATGGGTGCCCTGGGAGCCCAGAGGAGGGCCCTGTTCAACCTTGTGGGACTGGAAATTATCTCGGTGAATCCTTGAAGCAAAGACAAGTGATAGGCGTGATGATAAGCCTCATTCAGAGGTTCAGTGGTGGCCGAGAAGTGGCCAAGTCAAGATTCAAACCCAGATTTGCGGGTCTCCAAAGTTCATGCTCTCACCCCATCGGCTTTCCTGCCTCCCTACAGCTTGGCACTTAAACCAGAACCCACAATACTCTACATGTGGTTGGCTCAGCATGGAAAAGAGGGCCTATCACCTCCCTTATTCCAAACACCATGCTTCTATAGATACAACCTATAATCAAGTCATTCCATTGGCAGAGGGACGGGGAAAGGAGAGGAGAGTATGAAGCTGGGCAGGACCTATTTTCCAAGTCTCCATTTTGCCATAGTCTCCCCTGTCTGCCAATGGAAGGAGGGGATGCCCCTTGGAGGGCCCAGTTTGAAGGAGGTGTTCCCACTAGGAAAGCTTAGGGCAATTCCATCAGGGAGAATTGCAGTCCCAGGGCAGGAAGTGGCCTCTGTGTTGGAAGCCTGTACAGGAGGCAGACAGAAAGTCTGCTCAGACATCGGGAAGGGAGAAAGATGGACGGAAGCAGAGAGGACTGACTGACTCCCTTACTTGGTGAAAGGTGTGGGGAAGAGATAAGGGCTGCGGAGGAAGACACGAGGCTGCCGGGGTTTAAGACAGTATTAGAGACGGGAAGAAGAGATTGACGAGCGACACAAAAGGGAACACAAGAAAGTGATCGGGTCTCAGAGGGATGGAAAGGATGTCAGGAACAAGCAGCTGGCATGGGGGGCGGGGCACTTGGCTGATTCAGCTGCGCGGCCATCTCCAGAGCTCAGCCTGCATTTTGTGGATCGAATATGCTAATTAAGCGCCGGTCCCTGAAGACTGAGCAGGGAGCCCCCGTTAGTTCACTCGCTGGATCAACATAACAAAACCACCCCTAATAGGCCTGTGCTAAGCACATCGCAAGCATTTGATCACGTATCTTCTCAGACACCCTGTGAAGTATTTACTTGAGGAAACCGGGGCTCACAGAGGGGAAGCCACCGGCCCAAGCTCACCCCGCTGGAGAGGAGCAGAGCTAGATTTCCAACTCAGGCCTAATCCATGTCTATGCACAAGATGGGAGAGCAAAGGGACCCACTGCAAGGGAGGTCTGTGAAGTGAGGTTTGAGGTAGTGGGGATCTTAAATGTCAGCCTAAGGAATTTGAACTTGATCGTGCAGGTACCGGAGAGCCATTGAAGGTGGTTGAGCAGGGGGGGTTGATCTGGCAGGCTTACAAGAGTTCAGTGGAGGGGCTGGCCTGCCAGCATAGTGGTTAAGTTCATGCCTCTGCTTTGGCCATCTGCTTGGGGTTCCCGTGTTCAGATCGAGGGTATGGACCTACACAGTGCTCATCAAGCCATGCTGTGGAAGCATCGCACATACAAAATAGAGGAAGATTGGCACAGATGTTAGCTCAGGGCCAATCTGCCTCAGCAAGAAAATAAATAAATAAAAAAGAAAAAAGAATGCAGTGGAGAGAAAGGGTCCAGAGCAGTTGAGGAAGGTTCTGTGTGAGAATTTTGAAGGGAGGATAAGCCAGGAGCAACAGGAAGGCCATCAGCACCCCTGTACTCACAGACTGTCAGCTGAGTGGCTCCCAGGCAACACGTCGTCTGCATTCCATCATCGTCTTGTCCTTGATGCCGGCTGGAGTCTGCCCTTGGCATTCAGTCTGTGTATGAATCCAAGCATATCAGGCCAAGGCCCCAAAGAAAAGAGAAACATGGTTTTTACACCACATGGAGCAGTGGATGTGAGCCTAGCCTCTGGCATCACTGTCCTGTGTTTGAACCTCTGCTCCATTCTCACTAGCTGTGTTACCCTGGGCATGACACTTAACCTCTCTGAGCCTCATTTTCCACCTGTAAAATGGAGTGGAGAGCAGTGTCCCCCTCGGACTGAGGATCCAGTGACATGGGGTGTGTTAACGGCACCCGGCCCAGTCCTGGCCCTGGAAGAGTGCCCAGAAAAGACAGCTATTTTTGTGTGTGTTTGTGCGTGTTCTTCTGCGTGGGCCGGTGCCTGCCCCCGGTACAGAGTGTTCCTCCTTCCCTAACACTCAAACAGCTGCCATAACCTCCATCTCGTTCAAGGAATTTGTATTCCCTCCAACTCTGCACAGTACTCAGACATTTTAAATTCATTGATTTCTGTCCTTTGCTCGGAAGACCTCAAACTCATTTGTAGGACAGTCCTTGTTCCTTGTTATTGGAAGGGCTGGCTGAGTTATGGGATGGAATCTATTTCTTTTTTAATAACTTACATTGCTTTCTCCCTTTATTACAAAAGCAAGAACATGCTCGGTGTGGTTCATACAAATAAGCACCAAAAAAGGAAAACCACTGGTAATCCTACCATTCGGAAATAATTGCTGTTAGGTTTCAGTTCTATCCTTCCAGCATTATTTTAGAAAAAGGAATATACGCATTGGTTTTCTTTTCTTTTCTTTCTTTCTTTCTTTTTTTTTTTTTGGTGAGGAAGATTGGCCCTGAGCTAGCATCTGTGCCAAACTTCCTCTATTTTGTATGTGGGACGCCACCAAAGCATGGCTTGACAAGCAATGTGTAGGGGATCCGAACCCAAGAACCCTAGGCAGCCAAAGCAGAATGTGCAAAGTTAACCACTATCCTACTGGGCTTGCCTACACACTGGTTTTCCATAAAAATGCGATCATACTAAACATGCTGTATCACCATTTATTTTTTAAAGATTGCCACATGAGCTAATATCTGTTGTCAATCTTCTTTTTTTTTCTTCTCCCCAAAGCCCCCCAGTACATAGTTGTACATTCTAGTTGTGAGTGCCTCTGGTTGTGCTACGTGGGGTGCCGCCTCAGCATGGCCCGATGAGCAGTGCCATGTCCACGCCCAGAGTCTGAGCTGGTGAAACCCTGGGCCGCTGAATCTGAGCACGTGAAGTTAACCACTTGGCCTCGGGGCTGGCCCCTGAATTACCATTTTTTCAGTTAATGAGTCATTGTGAACATTTCCCCATTTCTCTTCTACATCCTTTTTAACGGCTTAATAATATTCCATTGCACCATGCTTTACTCAACTAGTTCCCTGCAGTTGTACATTTAGATTGTTTCTCATTATTTGCTTTTAAACTCCAAGGACCAACCCTGTGGCGAAATCTTTATCCGCATCCGTGATTATTTTCTCAGGATAAATTCTTAGAACTAGAATTGCTAGGTCAAGTTTTTTCTACTGTCAAATTGGCCTTCCCACCAGCAGGATTTGAGAACGATCGTTTCCCATACCTTTCCTCACACTGGATATTGAAATTTTTAAAAATCTTCACAAGTTTACTAAGTAAAAGCGTATCTAGTTATTTTTACTTGGCAAATCCGTTCTTGCAGGGCCTCAACGAGAGGATGCAGGCATGAAATGAGCCTGAGAAGTAAACCTCCTGCTGGCTAACCCCCAGCCCAGAGTCTGCTTCCCAGGGAACCCAGACTGTGACAGGCAGCATGCTTGTGTCTACTGGGGACGAGCCTGGAATGTTCTAAGGGCTAGGCCTTTCTTCTTTCTTTGAGCTGCCAGGACAACTTGGACTCTACCCAGAGCTGAAAAGATTTGAGCCTTGGCAGGCAGCCCTGGAGTGCCAGAGGCTTCCGGGGTAGCCCCTGCCTGGGTTAATTAAGCAGTCAGCTGGTGAAGATTTACTGCTCAGTAATCCTTACTCCTCTTGACATCCCTCAAAGATGACAACATCTCCATAAATAACAAGAGTCATAGCTGCCGTTGTGCATTATCACAGTGGGTATTTTACAGATGAGGAAACTGGCTCAGAGAGGGTAGGTAATTGCCTAAGCTCACACAGCCAGTGAGTGATGGGACTTGAATTCTAAACCCAGGTCTGTCCATTCTAAGATTAGTGCTCTTTACACTTCACGAGAGCTGGTCAATGGGAATAATAATATAATCTCTTGGATTATTATTCAAATTAAGTGACGTGTAAACTGCAAAGAATTTAGTACAATGCCTGGCTCATAGTAAGTAGTTGATAAATGTAAGCTATTAATCGGAAACCCTCCACGGGCTTCCGTTTCTTCTTAGAATGGAATCCAAACTCTTTTAGCATGGCCTACAAGACCATACAGGATCTGACCCTCCCTAGCACTCCTTCACTTCCTTCAGTTCAATGAATAAACCAAGCTCATGCCCACCTCAGGGCCTTTGCACATGCTGTTCTCTTTTCCTGGAATGCTCTTATTCTTTCTCTTTAGCTGGCTAAGATTTCCATTCAAACCTCAGCTCAGATGTCATCTCCACGGAGAAGACTCCCCTGATTACCAACCTGAACATCTAATGTTGCTCTTCAAACCCAAGTCACTCCCTACACGTAGCTCAGTTTTATTTTCTTTGTAGCTCTTAATGGGAGCTGAAATTCTTATTTAGTTTCTGGTTTACTATCTATCTCCCCTAATAGAATGTGAGCTGCAAGAGGGTAGGGATCTTGTTCTCCACTATATGCCCAAGGTTCAGAACAGTGCCAAGAAGAACAGGCACACAACAAAGATGTATTGGTTGCATGACAATGAATGAAGGAAGGAAAGAGGTTCTACCAGTTTGGAGAGAGATTTTTTTTTTTTTTTTTTGAGGAAGATTAGCCCTGAGCTAACATCTGCTGCCAATCCTCCTCTTTTTGCTGAGGAAGACTGACCCTGAGCTCACATCCGTGCCCATCTTCCTCTACTTTCTGTGTGGGACGCCTACCACGGCATGGCTTGCCAAGTGGTGCCATGTCTGCACCTGGGATCCGAACCAGCAAACCATGGGCCGCCAAAGAGGAACATGTGCATTTAACCGCTGCACCACCGGACTGGCCCCTGGAGAGAGATTTTTGAATGTGATAAAGAAGCTAGGTGAATAGGACATCAGCTCAAATACTCTTGGCCAATGGAGCGGTCCTGTCTGCTCAGAGCTATACCAGACGCCAACTTCTCAGAAGAGGATTTCAGAGACCTTCTGGAAGTTGCTTTATGAGTTACGCAAGCATTTAGCTTTTCCTGACACCTGTGCGAGGGGAGCAGGTAGGGAGTCCGTGGGGTTTTAACTGTAAAGACCGTCCCAGCTGTTGACTCCAGGAAATGCCTTGGGCTGAGCTTGGGAGAGGGAACTTTTTTCCAGTAGTAAACAGCTTCTCGGTGCCAGTCTGAGGAGGGTGCTAATCCTCACTTCCCCCCCTGCAAGGGCGACCCACCCAGGGAGCTCGGGGGGGCCCAGCTCTCACTTGGCAGTGCCAGTCAAGGATGAGTCCTCCTCGGAGCTCAGGAAGGGGAGCCCTGGGCTGCCAAGCAGCCAGCTTACAGGCCTGGAACCAAGGCTGGGGGCTCACACTTTGCATCTCTCTGTGTTCACACTCTCTTTGGGTGCCCTCTTTTAATTTATTTATACTCCTCGATCATGAAAATAATACATGCTTGACTCAGAAAATTTAGAAATCAGAGAAAATAAAACGGAAAGGAAAATGACTCACCCAAAATGAACCACTGTTAACAATTTGGTGTGAGCACTTCCAATTTTTTTCTTACACGTTTACACAAAAAGAGTGTATCATGCTTTACACGAATCTGTGACCTGCTTTTTTCATTTGACTTTATATTTTGTCTCTTTCAAGGTTAAGTATTCGCCTTAACCATTTTTTACTTAATTTGTTTCTTTCTTTCTTTTTTTTTTTTTTTGGTGAGGAGGATTGGCCCTGAGCTAACATCTGTTGCCAATCCTCCTCTTTTTGCTTGAGGAAGATTGTTGCTGAGCTAACATCTGTGCCAATCTTCCTCTATTTTTTTTTTTTTTTTTTGTATGTGGGAACGCCACCACAGCATGGCTTGATGAGCGGTGTGCAGGTCTGTGCAGGGGATCCAAACCCGTGAACCCTGGGACACTGAAATGGAATGGGCGATCTTAACCACTACACCACCGGGCCGGCCCCAGTTGGTTTCTTTTTTATACAATCTTTTTTATTAGAATATCAATATCTGCTTGTTGTGAGAAAAAAAGTCAATATCTGTTGCGCAAAGTGAAAGTTATTTGAAATTCCACCCCTGGAAGATAACCACCAGGAAAAGTTCAGTGCGCATCCCTCAGTATTTTGTCTGTACACACACACATCAATGTGTATGTATTTGCATCAACAAGATCAAACTAAACAACTAAACATACCATTTTGCAGCGTGATTTTTGTTTTCACTTTATCTTTCTCTACCACCACACATCTCCATCTTATTAATGCCTACACAGATTCCTATGGTATTAATCTACTTTTTTAGTTAACCACTCCCCTATTGAAGGACATTTTTCTTCTTCTTTTAATTCCAAACAATGCTCCAATGACTTTTTGTGTGTGCACGCCCACATGTGATTCTGGAGATATATTTCTAGAAGTGGAGTGTCAGAGTTAAAAAGGAAAGAACATTTAAGAAAAAACAGACAAATTGGACTTCATGAAAATTTAAAATTTTTGTATATCAAAAGACATTAGCCACAGAGTAAAAAGGCAACTCATGGAATGGGAGGAAATATGTGCAAATCATATATCTGATAAGAGATTAATGGCCAGAATGTATAGAGAACTCCTAAAACTCAACAACAAATAAAAAATTCAAAAATCGCCAAAGGACTAGACGTTTCTCCAAAGATATGTGGATGGCCAATAAGCACATAAAAAGATGCTCAACATCACTAATCATTAGAGAAGTGCAAATCAAAACTACAATGAGCTAGCACTTCACCCACATTCGGATGGCTACTGTGGAAAAAACAGAAAAAACCAAGTGTTAGCGAGGATGTGGAGAAATTGGAACCCTTGTGCACTGTTGGTGGGAAAGCAAAATGGTATAACCACCATGGAAAACGGTATGGAGGTCCCTCAAAAAATCAAAAATAGAATTACTACATGATCCAGCAATTCCAGTTCTGGGTATACACCCCCAAAAGAACTGAAAGCAGGGTTTTGAAGAGATATTTGTACACCCATGTTCATAGCAGCATCATTCACAACAGCCAAAAGATGGGAGCAACCCAAGTGTGCATCGATGGGTGAAGGGATAAACAAAACGTGGTATATACATGCTACAAAGGAATATTATTCAGCCTTAGAAAGGAA